AGGTTGGTGTCAACACGAAGGCAAGCACGAAGCCCGCACTAAGGTCAGTGTCAACCCGAAGTCGACTAGGAGATAGTCGAAGGCAAGCACGAAGCCCGCACCAAGGTCAACGTCGACACGAAGTCAACTACTAGGAGGGACTCGAAGTCCCAAACTTGCGTCGAATACACAGACGAAAAAGTGGTCGAATACGTCGATCAACCTTTGGAGCAAATGAGGGCTAGCAAATGTGAAGGAAGGAACTCTACCTGTTTGTGTACACTCTGCTCTGTGAAACTGAAATATTAGCGGTATGCGGAAAATAAACGTTGATATCTAAGATAACCTGTTCAACCATGACAAAATCCCATGTGATTGCAACAGCAATGGGTAACACAAGGTGGTATACAAATTATTGACTATTGGGGGTATATGTGAATTAAATTCGTAAGATGACAATGATTGCGATGGGAAAAGAGCACACAGCATCTAGATCTAGGCGACCGAATACAGTAAGTGAGGAACGACAGGTGGACGACCAGTATTGTCGAAATAAGACTGAACGTAAAAGAGACAACATTCCTTCATCCCCTTCCATATGTTGTGCTCACGTCCGGTAGCATCAAAAGGTTGTTTGAGGGACTCGGGAAAGTGCTCCCACGCTGACAACACCTTGCGGAAACTTTCGAAATATGGTAAAGCGGCGTCGAAAGATGGCGCATTGAGTCCGTCGTTCTCTTGAGGTAAGTCCCTGTTCCAAACTTTCAACGACTTCGAGGAAGATGCTACGAAGAAGCTCCATCCTTTCCTTCCTCGCCTCCTTGTCCTTACGTGCATCGCGCCCAAGATGCTCATCCAGGTCCAGAAGCTCATATCGAAAACTTTGCTCACAGATTTCATATACGATTTGGCGTGCGAGATCTGCGGGGGGATTGTCGAGCGTGGAAATGGCTATATCCTTTCCACGCCAGTGAACATTTGTGGGTCCTGCCCACAAGGCCCGCAGTACCGGAACTTCCTTTTGGAAAAGTAAAGCAGTCGCTGCTTTCGACTTGCTGGTCTTGCCGGACGTCCGCGTGTTCGAAGGTTCCTGAGCGTGCTGAGATATCAAGAAATCGCGCCAGTTCTGGGCGCGAGGAGAGGTCGAGGCCTTTCGTCATAGACACGTTCTATCCAGGTAGGGCGGCATGCCAGCCAGTTGGCAAGGTACTTCACCAAGGATTGCGGGGAAAGAACGTTAACGAATAAACCTGGATCGGGAAGCGAGTACCCATCATCCATTTTGTCTCTGGGATGCTTGATGCGAATAATATCTTTGTTTGCGTCCTCCAACGCTATCTTGAAGAAAGAGTTCATTGGCGGCATATAAGGGTGATCTATATCAGACCACTTGTCACGGCCAGATACAGCTTTATTCTGACGCGGAGCGGTTGCATTGTCTGAGGAATTAATTAGTCACAACAACCATGAAAGAAGAATGCTGAACTTACACGGCGCAGGCTTGGCACTCATTTTGGCCTTCCCTTTGTCTACGCGCGCCTTCCTACCAATGACTCCCTCGTTACCATCTGTTCCACTTGGGGTTTTGGAACCGGTAGCTTCTCAAAGTTGGAATACGGCTGACGAGCGGCCTCATGACGCTTGCGATTATTGGGACCTCTGTTGATGATGTCGAATGGTTGGGCGAAGAGTTTGACGGGATCATGATACATGCCGATGACGAGGTCATCGGGTGGTGTGAAGGAAACGACTTTGACGATGTTCATGTTGGCATTGACAAGTCTGGCATCGCGAATAAGCCAGACAGGAACTCCAGCAGCGTGCACCTTCGTAGCGATAGCGACATCTTCGGTGAAACAACCCATCCATTTGGGGTTAACCTTGTGCGTAGTGTCGACGAATCGCATGCGAGGCTCGATAATTTCGTAATAGTCTATAACCGCCCAGATATCGAGAAACCGGCGCTGATATTCAGCAACGATTATGACGATGTCGCGCCAGGCCATGGCTTGCTGGAAGCGCTCGTAGACAGCGCGCATTGCATGCGCCCACCCAACTACATGATCCTCCTTGTGGGACCTTGCAACCTTGTAATTGCTAACCCGCGTATTGGCCTTCTCGTACAAGCGCTTGAGATGGCCGACAATGTCGGTCTTGAGTTGACCAAAAAGATTGCCGGGAGAAATGGGCGTGAAGTCACTTGCGAAAGTTGGTCTGAACCATGCGTACATCATGCTTGAGTCGTCCGCATAGGCTTCCTGGCGTGGGATTGCCAAAACTTCGAGCGTATAAGTCGTCATACATCTGCGGCCACTGGAAGGGATCCAGGGCCCAATATCTACCATCTGCGCGCGCTTGTTGAATGATGTCGGATTCGTTGTCGCACGGGTTGGGGAATGAATTTCATGTTGGGAGTGTGATTACTCGGTGGCCATATGTAGCCACACACAGAAAGCATCAGTGGCTCCGTCAGGTAACCTGGCTATCGTCAATCAAGAGTAGTAGAGGTACGAAGATGCCCAAAACGTCCGGCACCATCGCGCATGAATGGGCTTGAAGACAGGAATCGACATGGTTGTAGCTCCAGGAACCCTGATATCGAGAACGGGGAATAGATACAGCGACTCGCAGTCACTGCGGAAGGACATTTAAACGAAACAGCGACTCGAAGTCACTGCCGATTAAAATGCTACCCACGAAGGGCAGATAGCGATAGAGAGTGTGTCTTGAAAGATCAGGAGAAATCTGACGAGGCGTGGTGTCAGTGATGATAGCATGAATCAGTGTAATGAACGAACTTACTGTAAAGGCGACAGGAGTCTTGAGCGAGTCTGGTTAAAGACCTAATGTAGTCATAATAGCGTGACGAATAACGAATGTACTTACCTATGAAGTCTAAGACCCACGAAGGCAGTAAGAGTCTTGAAAGATGGGAGAGATCTGGTGAGGGCGTGATGTTAGTAATAATAGCATAAATCAAGGCGGTCGTAGCACGATACTGAGCTGGTGGATGACAAGACTGCCGACCGAAGTCTAAGCAATCGATAGTAGCAAACAACACGAAGTTGCTGCTCAAAGGACGCCCACCACGAAGGTAGACTGTAGAGGCTGGGGAATAGGCTGGGGAATGTGAGCCGCCGCGATGAGGAGTGGCGTTGAGGATGAGGAAAAGCGTTCAAAATGGACTTCACACTTTGATTCAGTGTGGGAAAGCCCTTACCTAGAGTGGGAAAGCCCAGACCAAAGCCTGGGAAAGCCCTTCTGATTTCGACCAATTTAGTAATCTCATCAATGTTTGGCCCCGTTTCCACTCATCGTCTGCCCTCTGCCCTCATCGTTTGCCCCCATCTTCAACCTCTGGCCTCATCGCATGGTCTGCCTTCGAGGCAGACAAGTTCTGCCTGTATGACTTCGTGTCATCCAGCGCTATCTGGCCGTCTGACTACGAGTCAGATTACGGTCTACCTACCTCAACACCTCGCCCACATCCATCCTCTACAAATGTATGTGTCCATTTAACTCTATTCTAATTGATTACACGCAGGATTTTTCAACGACATCCTCATCTCCCACCCTTGTCTCCACCGCATCGACTGGCCTGATCGCATGGTTCTGCCTTCGAGGCAGACACGCTTTGGCTGGGTGACTTCGCGTCATCCAGCACTGTCTGGCTGTCTGACTACGAGTCGGATGCCTCAACACTGCGCCACTATCTATTCGTTCTCTGCGCAAGCGCATGTCCAGCAACTCAATTCTATTTCATCGTCTGCGGGAATTTTGAACGCTCAACATCTTTGTATTCCAACTACCGATCGGTACGTCCTCCCCCATCTTACAATTATACAATCGTTTCATTCTACTTACAACAGATAATCAAAGTTTGGGGTATGCAAAATATGGTAGGGACACTGGCGCGTATAATTGTAAGCATTCTTTTCTCGACACGCTGGAGGAGATTTTTGATGATGACCATGGCATCATCAGTACCGCCAGTAGCCTGGACTCTTACGCGCGGAGAAGCTCATATTCGCCCCATCACCCATTTGGACCCTCATTTTCGTAAGTTTCGAAGCTTTTTTAATGTGGGCCATCCCCAATAAGTTAGTATACGATCCTTTGCGGTGAATATTCCATTTTTCTAACAATGTTCTTTCAATGTACCTCTGTTCGTTTCGGTGTCGATTGGGCGGGATTACAACTTTGGAATATTATTTCTTGATGTGTATTGGGCGCCTTACCATTAGTTAAAACCCGCAATGTTCGTGTTTTTTAAACAAGAATCTTTCTTCTTTTGACTCGCAACCATTAGTTTTCTGTACTCTTCTATCGTCCTGTCAAGACTTCGAGTCTTGAAATCTAGCTGTAAGACTTCGTGTTTCACAAGCTGCCCTGCTTCAACATTCGTGAAAGCACCCCTTTTCTCAGTATCAAGCCCGCCTACGTTTCAATGGCACCGTCTACCAGAAATGCAGCCCGTCGTGGTGCTACCGGTACTGGCACTCATGACCCCACAGTGTCTGGCACCTATGTCATGCGCACACGCAGTGGTGTTGCCATCAACCCCCCCGCCAAACAAAATAATAAGCGCCAAAGAAATGCTGTCCCCGAGTCATCTCCTGCTCCGGATGACCCTCACCGGCCAAAACCTCGTCCTTTACCCCGACGTTCCTCGGGTACGACCTTTGAGGACTATGCTCGAATCCTTGCTCGCCCTCGCAAACAACACTTAAAACCCACAGCGGACTCCGTCTCTTCTGGAATGGAGTTGCAAAGCGACCATCCCCCAGGTAATGACTTACGGCATTCACAACAATAACTATACTAACCCCTTTCATAGATACACCTGACATCGACGATGACGTACCCGTTACGGACACTCGCATGGATGATGATATGAACGGCGGGGCGGTAGCGACAATGATGCCGATGATGATATGACCAATGAAGACCGTGAACACAGCCAGGCTAACGAAGATGAGGATGAGGATAATGATGGCTCCGTACGTGGAAAGACTTCAGGTATATTATTTTTCATTTAGTATATCGTTGGGAAGGCTGACGGTTGTCACCGTGAAGACAACGTAGAAGGTGATAGCGACAACGACGCCAAGGATGGCGATGAAGAGCCTGAGGGTGGCGATGAAGAGCTTGAGGGGTGGCGATGAAGAGCCTGAGGGTGGCGAAAATAACAAGGACTTCGAGACTTCACAAGGTATGTACTATCTTACTTTTCTTAGTGGGGAGGGCTGATGGTCATCTGTTGTACGCAGCCAGAGACTTCGGCCTCGAAGGGTCAAGAAGGGCAGCTACAATTTACATTCGATGATGGTTCTCAAAGCTCTTCATCGGATACCAGCTACCGTGAAGGCCCGCCCCGCAAGATTGATCAAGATTCCGCCCATGAGTCAGATGCAAACAAAGACCTCGACCCCAAACCACAACAGCCCGTCTTCACCGCCTGCTAAGCGCAGGAAAAGGTCTTCAGCGAATCGAAATACCTTGGCAACACTTCCCAAAAACATCTCACTCGACAACCGTTCGCAAGAAGCACAGCTATTTACATGGTGGAACCCCACTCCAGCCAGTATATCCTTTGGCCCGACGCCGGACATTGAACAGTGAGAATGAAGAAACCCTCAGGTCATTTAAAGCGTGGACGGCTATGTCAGGAGGGCATCGATGAGGCTCAGGAACTTGGACAGAAAACAGCAGAAGAAGCTCGGGTGATTGGCGCCAAGTATGGCAAGTCGCGCGCTATTCTCATTGAGGCTGGTCTGTCCATCAAGCATTCACGATCAGAGTCTGATTGGAATGCCCACCAACGCTGGTCATGGATAAATACACCCCGCAAGGACAAAGAATGTCAGTCCCCATTCTGTGGTGTATATGATGCTAACTCGAGAGTCTCAGCATCATCGACTGGAAAGAACGTCAACGCAAACATTATCATGCGATGGGCAAGGATGACGAAGAGTGGGACATCATTCGCAACTATAACGTTACTGGCGGCAATACCAATCAATCACGCGCCAAGACCATTTTGTCAATGAGGGAGGATATTGCAAGAAAGGTACATCTACTTCATTAGCGCATTCTAAATAAACTAAGGACTAATGACTCAATCATTCATTCTCCCTCAATAGTTGTCTGCTTATTCTCGCCTTGAAGGAGTCGAGGCCATCGGCTGTATATTTGATAAACACAAGACGAGGCTGCTCGACAGGCATCCGGCTTTGTCGCGGGCTCCGACCTCATAGTCAAGTTGATCAATGAGCATCAACTGGATGCTCGCGCAATATTAGATTGGGTCGTGACTGCAACGAAGTACGTCTTATTATTCTGGACTTTTCCTACCTCCTGATATATTCACAGAGCGAAAGGCTACAATATATCCGTGCCGCAGTTCATGGGGGGAGTAGGGGCTTACGAGATTCTACTTTCAAAGCCAAACGAGGCTCCCCGCGACCGTTACAGGAGGATATGGCCAATTATGGTACTCGAGCACACTTGTGAGTACTCAAGTTTGTCCAAATTCAACGATTCATTGGATTCTGCTCAAATAGCGAAGTTTGGGTATCAACCCAAAGCAGTCCAGTGGCGGAAGCTTCTTGACTATGCTTTCCAGTACAAGTTCATGATTAAGAACTGGCCTGAAGACGTCCTTCCTATCGGTCCCGAATTCAATCCTCACAACCTAAGTTCTCAGCACCTCAAGCTACTTGTCGTTCCTTTCATCAAGCGCAAAGCGCATTCTTATTATGAGGCAGAGCTCCGCACTGAAGCTGAGAGCTTGTTAGAGCTAGAGAAAAAGAAGTCGAAGGGCAAGCGCCGAGGTCAGGGGCGCACTGTGGAAGACGTCATGAGTGAATTAGATGTCGATGTACCCGAGATCGAGTTCGCAGCTTGGCCAGATGGTATGTCATTTCCACGTTATCATTATACCTTTGTTTTCTGATGTCGATTGTGCAAGAATGTATCAAGCAGCTCAATGACGAGGTGCCGGAGATGTTCGACATTCCCTTGGTGACCAGTGCCTTGGATGTTGTGCTACGCAAGCTAGTAGACTCCGCCAAATTTAAGGGTCTGTCCCTGAAGATATATTGGCAGCTCATGAAGCACATCCGGATGGTCAGACTCCCTCTACTCACGACACGCTGCCAAGTGATCATGAATCTCCTGTCACTCCGAGCCCCCCGACCTTGCCATCAAACCAACGTCACCCTACCAATTTCACAGCAGTACATCCGCGAGGACACTCATCTTCCTCAAGTCCCAAATGTGTTTGATCGTGAATCTCGCCCTGTTCTGCCTACAAGCAGAGATGAACCTGTCGGTGGTGGAAGACGACAGGCTAGCCTGCCGTTCAAGGCGAAGAAACCTTTACGGGTAAGTGCTACGCTATTCCGTCAAGACTCAATGTTGATCTTCTTCAGGTTGACCCTACATTCATGCGCCGCATGGAGGAGCGTCCCGCTGACTCTCGTAATGATGCAGACTTGGAGTATGTCTTACCTTTCCACGACTTCCAACATATATTAATTTAATTGCTTAGGCTTGCCCTACCCAGGCCCTCGTCGTGAGGACAGAGATTTCGTTGCCCCAAACCGCCGCCGTGAATATTCTCGTTCACCTCCTGTATACCCTCAGCGAGATCCATCTCGCTCAAGGTACTATCGGCCCACCTACAGGCAACGCGAGACTTCTCCTGTCGCGCTTAGCGATGATGGTTCTTATCCTGGACGTCCTGCTCACTCACGCCGGCAAAATCATGCTGATGATTTCAATCAGAGGTTCCAAGTAAGGAGAGCTGGTGACTCTCATTATGAAGACGGGCCTTCGCGGTTTCGCTACTAACATGGGCAAGAATTGTGCTGTCCACTCATTCATATTGACTTTGCTTGCCTTTGGTTGTTCATATTAGCGCCTCACGTTTTTGTACTTCGGGTACCTCTAGCTGTTGTACTTCGTGTACCTCTCACTGTTGTACCTTCGGGCTACCTCATCACTTCAGTTGTCTCTTGCGCGGAGGATGAAGCTTTCACATGTAATGTTCAGTACTCCCATGTGTCGGAACAAGACAGGTCATGTCTGTCTCCTTTTGTTGACGATCTTGTAATGCAATCATATGTGTACCAACGGCCCAAAACGTGTGAAATTAAGTTTGCGCACTATATCTGTGAGAATGTTTGTGACAACGACGAATGGCAACATAATTTATCATCACATGCAAGAGGATTGAATCGACCTCCACGGATTTTTCTGCTGAAGAAAAAAAACAAATATTTAAAATGCACGTTGGCAGGTTCGAACTCACATAAACATGCTATGCAGGCATCACACACTCTAACCGTTACACCACAAGTCCTTATATCTTTAGGGTGTCAAATTGTATATGGCTGCTGAATGCTGCTCATCTCATCAAAACTTTGCAAAGTCTTTTGCCCGTCATCCTATTCAGTCTACCACACTAGCAATTATGTAGCATAACATGTACTTTGCACACAATATTGCTTTTTGTAGATTTCAATTTCTATATTCAGATGGATTTGTGTTCATTGTGCTCAGGTAAATGGAAATATGTGCACTTTGGGTTGAATACAATACTGAAATGCATGTGATTTGAACATACTCCGAAGTCTACAAGAGCTGATCAAGGCCAGCATATAATAGCATAATTAGGGTGAGTGGGAACACCTGGATAGTAGTTGAGAGGTAGATGGAAGAGTCCAAATAGTGTCATTATGGTCAGCGGGGAGAGCCCAACTGGTATAATTAGGGTCGGTGGGAAGGCCCAGATAGTAGTAGAGGGGTAGGCAGGAGAGCCCAAATGATGTGTATACAGTCGGTGGGAGAGCCCAAATGGTGTTGGTAGGGTTGGCAGGAAGGCCCGGTTGCTGATTGAACGGTAGATGGGAGAGCCCAGAGTATGCGTATATGGTCGGTGGGAGAGCCCAAATGGTGTTGGTCGGGTAGGCTGGAAGGCCCCGGTTGCTGATTGAACGTGTAGGCGGGAGAGCCCAGAAGATGCGTATATGGTCGGCGGGAGAGCCCAAATGGTGTTGGTAGGGTTGGCGGGGAAGGCCCGGTTGCTGATTGAACAGTAGGTGGGAGAGCCCAGAGGATGCGTATATGGTCGGCGGGAGGGAGCCCAAATGGTGTTGGTAGGGGTAGGCGGGAAGGCCCCAGTTGCTGATCGAACGGTAGGCGGGGGAGGAGCCCAGAAGATGCGTATATGGTCGGCGGGAGAGCCCAAATGATGTTGGTAGGGTTGGCGGGAAGGCCCGGTTGCTGATGAATGGTAGGCGGGAGAGCCAGAGGATTGCGTATATGGTCGGCGGGAGAGCCCAAATGGTGTTGGTAGGGTTGGCGCGGAAGGCCCGGTTGCTGATTTGAATTGGTAGGCGGGAGAGGCCCAGAGGATGCGTATATGGTCGGTGGGAGAGCCCAGTTGCTAATTTGAATGGCAGGCGGGAGAGCCCCGATGATGTGTATGGGGTGGGCGGGAAGGCCCAGATAGTACTAGAGAGGTAGGCGGGAGAGCCCGAACAGTGCCATTAGCTAGTCAGATTTATCTAATCCCCCCCCCCCTCTAGATAGCATCCCAAATTGAGATTGGCGCCTACATTCCTCTCTTCACCTCTCATTACCTCCATTAGAAAGATTTTGCTTCATTGGCGATGACAAACAATTGCCACACTATGGTCAGGATGATATCCACGACCTGAAGAGCATCTTCGAGGTCAAGCATCTCAAGGACCATGCCCTCTTCCTGAACACACAATACAGGATGCCTCCTCAAATTGGAAACTTCATCTCTCAAGCTGTATATGATGGCCTACTCGAGTCGAATATGCAACACCCCGTCACGAATGAGAGGATGGCTTATCATTTTATCAACATTCCCAGCCAGGAACAGTAACATAGAAATAGCCGGAAGAACCTTGGACAGTGCCAAACCATTTTCCATATTGCTACCATATTGCAAGCAAAGAATAAGCGATTCCGCATTATCACCCCTTACGACACTCAGCAGACATGAGATAAGTAAAGCTCCCACATTTTATTGCATATTATCTTTGCCACCCCCCCTTCCTTGCACACCCCCCCCCCCCCCCCCCCCCGTCGTCTTATGACAGACTCGCAAGTAAAGCTCCCACATTTTATTGCATATTATCTAATGCCACCCCCCCCTTTGTTGCACACCCCCCTGCTGTCTTATGACAGACTCGCAAGTAAAGCTCCCACATTTTATTGCATATTATCTTTGCCACCCCCCCTTCCTTGCACACCCCCCCCCGCTTGTCTTCTAACAGACTCGCAAGTAAAGCTCCCACATTTTATTGCATATATATCTTGCCACCCCCCCTTCCGTGCACCCCCCCCTGTCATCTTATGACAGACTCGCAAGTAAAGCTCCCACATTTTATTGCATATTATCTTTGCCACCCCCCTTCCTTGCACACCCCCCCCCCCCCCCCGCTTTGTCTTCTAACAGACTCGCAAGTAAAGCTCCCACATGTTATTGCATATCTGAGTCTGTGCCACCCCCCCGCTTTGTCTTCTAACAGACTCGCAAGTAAAGCTCCCACTATTGCATATTATCTTTGCCACCCCCCTTCCTTGCACACCCCCCCGTCATCTTATGACAAACTCACAAGTAAAGCTCCCACATTTTATTGCATATTATCTTTGCCACCCCCCTTCCTTGCACACCCCCCCCCGCTTTGTCTTCTAACAGACTCGCAAGTAAAGCTCCCACATGTTATTGCATATCTGAGTCTGTGCCACCCCCCCCGCCTTGTCTTCTAACAAACTCGCAAGTAAAGCTCCCACATTTTATTGCATATCTGAGTCTGTGCCACCCCCCCGCTTTGTCTTCTAACAGACTCGCAAGTAAAGCTCCCACATTTTATTGCATATTATCTTTGCCACCCCCCCTTCCGTGCACCCCCCCTGTCATCTTATGACAGACTCGCAAGTAAAGCTCTCACATTTTATTGCATATCCAAGTCTGTGCCACCCCCCTCTTTGTCTTCTAACAGACTCGCAAGTAAAGCTCCCACATTTTATTGCATGTTGCTCGCAAGACAACCTCATTACTCAATGACTAGTGCTGCACTCAGTTAGACTTCTCTTACGTTTAGGACGCTGTTTCAAGCCAAAAATCCTGCAGGTTTTTGTCCCATATCAAATCTTGTCTCAAGTGCATATACTGGCCTTGCATACCTAGTACTACTCCTTCTATGGATGTACAAATCGTGAATTTTTATGCCGTCAAAATGTCTGAAAAAGGACCCCTATCACCCCTATTTATGATGGGAAAGCCCTCCTGATAAATGCCCTGGGACATCCCAGAGACATGCTAGAGTGATCCCAGTTGGGATTGGGAAAGATCAAAAATAGGTCCTTGGGATGGCCCAGATACTTGCTTCAGTATGGACCGGGACATCCCAGTACATGGGGTAAAATACTGGGAATACCATCCTAGAACACACCCACTAGGTCCTTTGCTAGCCACAAACACATAGACCTAAGAGGTCATTTCAAGTGGTTGACTGAAGTGCAAATATACGCACCTCAAAGCCAAGTTCGAAGCCTCCGCATGTGCATGTGATGATGAATGGATTGAACGGAAGTCGTCCAATATCAATGGCGTTGACAGGTGCCTTACTCCTTAGCCATCGCACTCCTCGCATATTCCTACCTCCAAAACCCCTCCCCATCATAGGCAACATCCTCGACCTCACTGCATGCAAATGGGCACGCACCACACGGACACATAACACACATCCGCATATTCAACCAATCCCTTGTTTCCTTAACGCTCCCAAGGCCGTCTTCGATCTTTGAAATAACTCGTGAGTCTGTCGATAACAATAAACCGCACCTCGTCATGGCTGATGATCGATCAGCTTTGTAGGTGCGGTGTAGTGAGAATATGATGACATTCACTCCTTAAGCTTTAATGAAGGCGGAGGAGGCATTCGAGGAAGTTCTGCATGTAAAAGAATTCAGGGGTGCTGCGAAAGGAATAATTGAAAGTCCGCCTATTCTGAAGATTGCATCTTCAACCGTCAACGTTCCACCGTGGTCCGTCTTGTATTAGTCTGACCTTGCAAACCGTTCCGGCAACACTCTCGATCATACCCTCCACATGAAATGGGTGCAGCCAGACTCGTATAGAATGGTTCAGCCCCTTTGTTCGCGTCGTTTTCAGCTGTTTTTTGTATTATCTGCACTATGAAATGCATCGGATTCTATATTTTGTCGCCGTGTGCTAAATGATGAGTCCTAGCAAGTATCGCAGGATGTCCAGTGACGGTGTTGCAATGGCAGCTAGTCCAAGACTACACTTTGAAGTCACGCATGCTATTACTGGTGTACGTCTCAATCTACTGTTGTTCCTGTCGTTCACTCACAATTCTACTAGTCGGGAGTCGTATATTTAGTCACGACTGTTTGTGTGAGCCTGTGTGGTGCGCCTGCAACGCCCTCAAATACATCACACTGGAGGAGATCGCGAGATGTTGGGTACAGCCAAAGTCGATTGTCAGCTCTCTCCGATCGAAACATATATTTCGATTCCTTGTGCCGTCAGTAATATCAAGGCGTGCACGTGTGTATGAGCGCCGGTGCTTGAACCTGGCTTACCATGGATAAATTGATGACGCAAGTGGAAGTTCGAGTGCTCCCATCTGTGGCAGAGTTTTAAAGGTCAGTTACGTGCTCAGACTCTTCCGGGCCAGTCAGGACTAACATGCAACTGACACGTTCATAGGATGGACAATGACCCATGGGTTCTTCGCGTGGATGGGTGGATTTGGACATGCGCAGATGATCAAACTAAAGGTGGTGGACTATCGAACGGTATCACCATGCTTCAGCTTGCGTGGTTCGTCGTCCAGCTGGTTGTCCGTTACGTTCAACCTTCCGATAACCTTGCTTAAATCGACACTCTGGCTATAAGTGATGTGCTCTGCATTCCATACTGCTAGACAATGATGAAACTATCCCAGCACATCTTGCATCTCATCGCCAGACTTACCACATCGGACATGTATCGCAACACCGCACATTTAGATTCCTGCGCCGTCGGTGATTATGATGGCCTCGAGGCATGCACCTGTGCATAAGCGCTAGCGCTTGAATCTGGCTTATTAAACCCTTCAAAACAGATCTGAATGAACAGACACCATTATCCATACATTCAGCAAGGCCAGCGACTCTGCATGCATCCTGCCACACCAGAACGTATGACAGCTTTAAGGCTTTTTTTGATCATTGTTTAATGTCTGGTGGGGTGGAGCCCTGTACATGTGTATGAGAGCCAGCGTGTGAACCTGGCCCAATCATGCATGGATTAATACACGCAACTGCACCCATTAAAAGGGAGCAGAATGAACAAACAATATGCCCTCAAATTCACGATGATCCTCTTACTTTGCGCTGTCCTCATCTGCGTTCCATTTGTTCGTGCTTCACTCCCGGGTCTTAACGATACCAATATCCTTACACTCGATGCCAGTGACCCTCCATCCTACAACACCAGAACCTTGTGGGACATTCTCTCGAGCTGTGGCTTAACTTTGTTTGCGTGCACATGGACTGCCATCCATCCGGACATTCCGCATATGGACCAGGGGGTAATTTCTATTACCATTTATCGTCTACGCCTCATGGTTATAGCGTTGTTCGCCCCTGAACTCGTGACTGCCTGTGCCATATTGCAGTGTTTGAGTGCTTGTCAAGCTGCAAGAAATTTTAATGATGCATTTGGTACCCAATGTGCCCGGCGTCGAGCCACATGGCAGAGGGAGCTAGCAGTCACGTTACTTGGCGACGTTCCAAATTCAAGCCGAAGTTCATGCGCAAGTCAGATACATACTTGAACTCTTCAATCAGGAAGAAACTAACATAAAACTGATGCCTTCACAGGATGGACACTGACGCATGGGTTCTTCGCACGGATGGGTGGATTCGTGCTCTACGTCGATGGTGAACCGCGGGCCACTCTTACACCCGACGAACTCCTGGGGTTTGTTCGTGACGGATCTGTGGAGATACCTGTCATCACAAAGGCAGACATAGAAGACAAAAGCAAGGGCGATGTGCTATCAAAATGTGTCGCTATTCTTCAGCTGGTGTGGTTTGTCATCCAGCTCATCGCCCGCTACGCCCAGAACCTCCCTGTAACACTGCTTGAAATTGATACCCTGGGTGTAACCGTTCTGTCCTGCATTTCCTATGGCTTATGGTTTAAGAAGCCTAAGGACATAGGACGTCCTTATATTGTTCATTGGAACTCGGAGGTAACCGCTCCTCCGCTTGGTGACAGCTTAACCAACAAGGACTACCAGTATGTTATTAATATTCCTGACAGAACTTGTTCTGATTTGACTGTATTCAAGTTCACGTTCATGGAAAACCCGAATACCACCGCATATGGTTTTTGGTAGCGGCTACAAGCTTATAGACTCTGGCTCGACTACAATGATCTCATTGATCACCGGGTGCGCCGGTGGAATGGTATTTGGAGCGATACATTGTCTGGGCTGGAATTTCTTGTTTCAGAGACACACAGAGCAGATATTATGGCGTGTGGCTTCCATTGGGATGGTATGTTCACCACCACTGGTGCCTCTCTGTATTTTTCAAGCGATGTTGGGTACGGTCCGTACGGAGGACAGGTTACTACCATTGGAAAACGGCAGATGGATTTCGGACCCTGCGTTGTTTTTTGGCGTGCTTTTCACGGAGTTTTACGTATTTGCACGTGTTACAATAATTGTACTCATGTTCCTGAGCTTACGATCACTTCCTCCTGGCACATACGATACAGTCGCTTGGACCCAGTTTATTCCACATGTAAATACGTAGTTTCACTACAATCGCTGTAACAGAGTGTGGTAACTTGCTAGAGTCTATCGATTGCTGTTAAAATCAGAAGTGCGAGTACGACTCGGTCAAGTTCGAATCTAATAATTGACAGGCCACCCATACCACACGAGCAACGCTCGATGATCTATCGAAATGTGGCTGCTACAGTATCTGGATACGCTGCGTGAGTGCATGCCATCGAGGGATGGAAAAAGAACAGTCACTGCGGAAACGAGATTTTGATCAGGTCTGGACAGGGTGTGAAAAGACGACATAATCGGTGTGTAATCAGAGGTGGCAAATCATGCAAATCCCGAGGTGATAGAGCAGTGGGAAGTACCCGTTTCGGGTTCTAATCTGACGTAGGAACACTGGCTATTGCAGAGTCTGAATATGTATTACTGGCACTATTCCGACCACTGAATTATATCTGGTTAGTGGGGTCTACATGTCTGATTTTAGTCTGAATATCATCATAATCATGTCGGATTAACATCTGAATACAAAGCTACCATATGTTCATATGCTTCTCCTATGGATTCACCTCGCTCCCCACGGGGCTCTGGGGCTCCGGTTGTTGCTCCTCATTGCTCCCTGCCTCTCACCACCACGATGTCCGGCTCCCAGAGCTCACAGCAACACCCAAGTGGTCCTCCCAGTTTCCCTAGTATGCCAAATCATATTAGCCATGACCGACACCATATGACGATGGACGCACCATACAACTTCAGCGGTACAGGTGGGGACCAATCCCACCTGTCTCCATTGTCCCCGTTGGCACCTGGTTTACCTCCACAAGATGACGTGTTCGGTGGAGGGTCTCACGAGCGGTCTGGCTTGCTGCATGAACAACAAACACCGTTGCATCCTAGTATGTGTGTGCCGAGTGTGCCAAACTTTGCTCCAGGCAGGTCACCGTACCTTGGCCATTCAGATTCCCGAACACTGTTCTCGAACGGTAGCAATTCGTCTTCCTGCGGACAATCTCTAGGCCCTGTACCAGATTATAATCAGCATCCATACCGTGCACCACATTATGGCAGAACGATACATCCTCTACTATAGTTATCCATTCCAGGATATATCCCCCATGTATAGCTATCCATGGTGATTGTTCCTCGTTCCAGGATATATCCCTTGTGTGATTGTTCCTCGTCCTCCTTTTGTTCAGAAGCCGGAGCTGTTCTTAATGAGTCCAAACCTGTATCTGTCAACAATCAATCGAGTGATCTCCTCAGGAACCAGAACATAGTACCCCACAGTTCTAAGATCAAGATCAAGGCACACCATCAATTCAAATCTTCGGTACTAGTGTACATATATGCTACAGCGTGTTCTCGACGTCTTCGCAAGGCGGCTCATCAAGAGATGGTCCGTCATCCTCTTCGACAAGTAAATCAGCATCCAAACCTGAGGCAACGAGATCAGGGACTGTCCTCCAGCTCTCTTTGAAGACAGCTGCCAGCCTGTGGCGGATGTGAACTTGCCGGAAAGCATAAGCCACAAAACCCTCCTCCACCTCCTCCTTCAGCGGCTCAACAAATGGCCTTGACGCCAGTGAATCCCACTGCGCTGCTTGCCAGTCCAGGAATCTCAAGACACGTTCCATCTCTTCTAACAATAGTAAGATTTCTTCCGACCACCTATTGTGGTGCGCACGGGCCTTACACCATTCCATCCGAAGCGCTATCCTCAGGATAGTTCAGTAATCGTAAGACGGTTAATAAATTACGCTACTCACAGTCTTGCAGCCCCTCGTTGTTGTCAGCGGATATCCCGTGCGTCAACCAAATCAAAGACATAATGTCTGTCCCTTGAGTCAGCGCTCCAAAGTCTCCCATGGGTCTAAGGTGAGCCTTTTTCAAGGGCTGCAGTTTCTGCTCCCAGCCTACCCGATTAAGATGATGAGCAAGGGACACCAGCGCCTTGTGGGCGCTCACGTACTTGGCGTGACTCAGCATCAGGCGTTCTTCAATGGCATCTAGCGTTTTCTGAGAATGTGTGCTTGCTCCTTGTCCGCGCACATGCTGGGTCTTATACTGATATAGCTGGCGGCGGACTCGAATGTGGGTTCGGCACTCATTAAGAGCATCATTGGCTTGTGCATATCGAAGGGACCATTCCATCTCCAGCATTTTTTGATCACATGGCACGACGCCACAGACTTCCGAAGGAAGAAGCAACGGGAGATCTTCTGCGTTACTGGAGTTGGGGTTTGATGTTGGACAGCCACTATCATCAGTGATGTCATTATGAGGTAGGAGGGTTGCAGAAGTGCGAAGATTTGGGACCATTGGCATATAGACCGTTTGGATTGCAGTCCATGCATCTAGGCGCCGTTGTAGTGCAGTCCTTCGTGTCAAAATTTTAGTTCTCTGAATCTCAGTTGAATGTTGACCGAGTGCGGAGGCATCTACGCGTAATCGGCGTCTGACTCGGAAGCATTAAGTTAGACACACTTCGCCAATGCTGCAAGACCACCTACTGAGTATGTTCAAGGTCAATTCCAGTGCTGAGGAGCACACTGCAAGTCACCTCAGCGTGGAGTGGGATCGCTAATCCATCTTCCAATTCCTTTGCGTCTTGCTTGGCCAATTCAAGTCGCACGGCTGCCTGTGTCATTGCTACATTGATTAGCAACTTGTCAAACACGTCTTGCAGGGCGACGTACTGGCGACTCTGCTCTGGAAGGGGTTGGGCTGTGAATGGTCCATCTCCCATGCCTTGATCTCTGCGCGCAATCCACAGTGCCTACTCCGGTGGCAGCAAGACCCTTCGAAGACTTGGTGTCAGCATGATTTACAGCATTGTGGCTGATGCAGGTGCTTTCTATTATTAACAAAGTGGATATTGTCAGTTTATATAGTCAAAGTACACAGGTCATGACATACCTCTTGTGCGATCCCAGTGTGCGCGTTCAAATGATATTTATAGTCTCTCTCGTCAACAAAAAAACTCCACCCTTGGCTAAGACCTGGATCTTTTTCATCGCTGGACACCATCTGACGTTTTAGGCGAAAATTGGCATCAACCACGATGAACAGTCCATATTTCCATCTGAGGATAGTCATTTAGTTAGTTAGGCTGGACAATGGCTAATGTATTGAAGCACGTACTGGTTAGGCTCCAATTCACAGCCATCCGGCAGGTTTTTACCTGGGTGAGGACAGGCTGGACACAGCACTGCTAAGTTGCCATTGCGCGTGGAGTGAACACCTGCGGGATCATGTCCACACCCTGAACATTTCAAGGTCTTGCAGTTTCTCCACTCAATAACCATTCAGAGGAACTCGGAATAATGATCCTGAATTGGAGTAAGCCCAACATATCAAGTGAGATTGAGGAAGATGAAAGTAGACTCACGCGGATTGGTGTGATACCAGTATTGTCAGTCCATCGAGCTAAACAATGATAAAATTCGTATGCGGAAACTTTTGACTTGAAGGAAAGCAAGTGGAAGAATTCCAAGACTGCAAATGTTGCTGCTGTTCTTGGGTTGGTCACTGTGGCAGGGAACCAACGTGCGCGAAGTAACTGCTTGAAATGCGACACCTCATGCTCACATCCGCAAAAGTCGAGATCAATCTCATGTATCCCATGGATGTCAACAACAACAAAGTCATCGTTATAAGCAGGTTTTGGCTTGCGACAGGTGGTAAGCGGGTAGTGACCAAGTTGCATGCACAGGCCCATAGACTTGAGGGACACGGGATGAAAAAACCCATCCTTCCACTGCTGCATCTTCCATAAGTAAAAGACAGATAGATAAATAAGAGACACTGCATACCTTGATTCTGTGGAGGGGTGCATTCACATGTAACTGGATGGTACACGAGCAACAAGCAAGTTCGACTGAAAAACAATCCTGACACCTGAAAGCCACATGTAGGTCACCGCACTGACATGGGCTGCCTGAGTTTTTGCCCCTTCCTTCCAATCTGATGAATTCATCGATGTAGGTCTGCCATTCCTGCAGCTAAAGAGATATAGGATTATTCTAAAAATCTAGCATAAGCTTCATGTCGCGTTTGAAACACAAGACATACTCCACTGTTTTTTTGATGTCTCTCTCTCAGGACCTCAGACTCGGCAAATGGAAGGTTGGTATCCGCAGAGTGCTCGACTTTGTTCCAAGGATCTGGATCAGACGCACTTTCTCCCAGATCATCTGTGATGTTGGCAGGGATGTACGATGTTCGAAGTGAAATTTGTCCAGTGGGCTGTAGGCTGAATATGCGGTGCCTCTGAACTTGATCTGGTGCGTTGGCTACAGTTTGTGTGTGCTTGACCAGTCTGGGCCGCTTGGTTGGTCGTCCTGCACATCTATGCTGCGACATTCTGTGTATCCGATTAGTCTGCTGTGGGCGAATCCTTGCGAAGCTGTTGTTTTGACACTGTGTGAGACAGTAGTACTGTGATCACATACACACTTTGCATTGGTAATTCACAAAGGTCAATGGTGTCCATGGCACTCAATTTTTCAGACACTTTTGGTTACATTTACACCCATAAGGATGGAGAGCATGGCCTCCTGTACAGTCACTGAAGTAAGTAAAGCAGTAAGTGATATACTAAGACTCCTGTGTAAGACGGAGCTACAGGCTCAGATCATCGTCGTTTTGATACATCAACTCCTTGGCCACGAAAGCGTAGGCAAGCTCACCATAGCTTATGTTGAGATACCACAAGATATCCTGCAAGTAAGCCATTAGACGACAAATCTCTCGACATACTTCTTCAGTGGCCCTCCACTCATCACAGACTCCGCATATGTCCCAAATCCTATCATGACCATGGTGCGCCTTGTCGTGGATACTTCCAATGGTCTGGATGGCATCCTTAATTATGGAAATATCTCCACTTGTGGCTTCACCGTCGGTGGCATCTGGGACGGATGCAACATATTTGTGGAGAAGTTGTTCCACGTATGCAATAGGTGTTGGAGCGAGAGCAACCAGCTTGTTCTTGGCATCTCTCACGATCCCTAAGCAATCTGAAAGTGTCTTGCTAAAATATGTACTATTCAGCACCGTCATGTTTCAAAGTTTAAACACTTACGGCTCAGGGGAGAGATCATGCGCAGTATCTGCCTCCAGCACATCGATAGCCTGGGAGTCCATTTTGCAGGTGTTTGGCATGTGATGTGAAGCAAGCTGCCGTTTCAAATTGATGCTGGCCTTGTGCCTGCAGATACAAATTGTCTTATGATTGTTGGTTCAAATACAGGCAGAAACTCACCTAGCATAATAGTTGCGCTGCTTTTCACGTTCTGCTGCAAGCTTGGCCTCCGGGGTGGTGTGAATGATTGGCCAACCTGCTGGCATGTTGAAGGATTGGTGCAGTGAGAGTGGGAGACAAGGACTGAATAATTGAAAGTTTCAACCAGTGGCAAATCATCAGCTTATACAACTGGTTACGGACCAATAGTGAATCCAAAATTATGGTCCAACGGGAATTACAATCCAACAGTAAATTCGATGCCTATGGAGTGATACTAATTACTGAGCTGTCAGACCTAAACACGCACACATTATTTCAGTACACTTTACCACTCTATCAATCCCACTTATCTTCAGCACATCAATACATAGTCAATGTACGTCTGTGCTGTCAGAAACGAACACATTAACATATATCAGTGCACAGAATTAGATGGCACCACTGAAGTGGACGACAGCCGAACAAGAGGCATGGCTCCAACCATGGTATGAAAAGTACTGGGGAAAGCAAAGTGAAAAATGCAGGAACTACAGCAACTTTTTGCAGACCTTAATGAACACTGGTTTGATGCATTCCCGGAGCCTCGCCCCAATGACTGTACGACAGTTGGACCATTGACAAAAGAAGAAATGGATAGCGCAGTGGACGCACGCAAAGACGTATGTGAGAGTTTGCTAGCTAAACATCATCGCAGACTGACATTGTGATAGAAATTGTACATATGTTTCAAGAATAACTGCGGTGGGTCGAAGGCTGGACGACAGGCAAAGGCAAAGGCTACCGATGCCTTCGATGCTGTGGTACGAAGAATAACAGAGTGTGAAAAACCCACTCGGACACTTCAAGAACACGAGGCTTACTCTAAACTTTACTATGCCGACCACATCCAAAAATTGGTTCAAGAAACACTCAAAAAAGCAGAAGAGGAACAGCCACTCACTAATGGCCAGCGCATAGCTCTTTTGAAAAAGGAGACAGCTGCTCTCTACGCAGACGAGTCTGAGGATGTTAAGAGTCAGGCCAAAGAGTACATCGCGGCTCAGAAGAACCAGCGCATGGACTGACCAGAGACTTGGAGTATTGAGGATCAAGAGCGTTGAGTGCTTTCCACCTGAAGTAATCTGTAAATCAGCTGACTCACAATATTCACACAGAAATCTTATGAAGTTGGCGGCAATTGTGAACCAGTTCATAAAAGGTCTTGCAGATGCCACCGGCCTGGCATTTAGTCTTCTGGTGGGCAGTCCTTCTGCAGAGTTAGGTGGCTTAATTGATGTGTGGAGGTAAGTCATACTTATGCATGGATGGAGCACAGAATTTGAACGCACCATGATAGTTTCCATGTCAGACATACAAAACTAGGGAATGATTTCAGTCAAGCGTACCCTGATTTTGATAGCGGGATTATCACACCATTTCGTGATTATCTGTATCGTGTGTACCGTGAGTGTTACGCTGGTGGAACTCTGAAGGATAGGTAGCTTACCATGTTTCTCAACAGCGGATGCCGCAATGTTGAAGCCAGGGGAAATGGGTATGTCGAAGAACTCAACTGTGAGTGTTGACTGGACGATCACACCAAGTAGTAGTACGTCATATCTGCATCTGTTGATTATGTGAGCATTTTTGACATGGGTTTAGCCAAAGTACCTCTCCCCTCGTCGTCGTCGTCTTTGACGCCGTCTTTGCCGCCATTGTCTCTGACTTTCGACAATCAGTTTGATTTAAATTCTGTTGAGCATGCAGAGCTGGACTGGATGTCTGATGACTATCTTGATAGGTTACATCAGATGTCTATGCAGATGCTGCCAGGTGCACCTGCTACAGGTCCAGCTGACCCTCCCCCACATACACCCATCCCTCTTGGTCCTACTGCGACTGCAGCGCCGACTATCAGTCATCCCACTCCATCAAATTCATTGGTCTCACCTCCTGTTGCCTTCCCCCCCATTTTTTCTGACCCTTCCCCACATACACCCCTCCCTCTTGGTCCTACTGCGACTGCGGCACTGACTATCAGTCATCCCACATGGTCAAATCTCTTGGTCCCACTACCTGCAACCATTCTTTTGCCCCCCATTGTGCCACTCTCCGAGATGATAGGCCCTGCTGTGCTCTCCCCTGTGCTATCAGCTGCTGCTTCACTGCCTGCTGTGTCGCCCTACATGATTGATACTCACCTCCCTCAACCCCAGCCACTGCCACGCCGCACTGCTTCAGTTAGTGCAGAAGCCCTGCCTGCTGCATCACCCTCCATGGTTGACACTCACCTCCCTCAACCCCAGCCACTGCCATGCTGCACTGCTTCATTTAGTGCAGAAGCCCTACCTGCTGCATCACCCTCCATGGTTGACACTCACCTCTCTCAACCCCAGCCGCTGCCACGCCACACTGCTTCAACTAGTGCAGAAGCCAACAATGATGTTGCCGAAGGTGGTCGCTGTCGCAGTGCATGAGCCCCCATGCCATCTACACGCAACACTGTTGCAAACTCTATTGGAGGTACAGATAGTGTGCCACACGCACCGATTTCCAAACACGTGCGCGAAGTTCAATCATCGACAAAGGCAGGCCATCGTCCTAAGTAAGTTTTTTGTATTCCACCGGTGTGGCAGGACTTAAATCTTGATATAGAAGAGGGAAATTGTGAGGTCTTGTTACCAGTCTTATCTTGCGGGGCTGCTTGTATTTTGTCGCTCATTGTTTTGTTGACACCCACTGGTATGTATACAAAATAAATCATTTTTTGGCGTAATCACAGGGCTTGAAGCTACACAGCCAATCACCGTACTAGTACCTAGTAGTAGTAAATATGATGGACATGGAATTTTATTTTGTCCTGACATTTGACTTCGCAGATCCATGTGCTTCTAAATATTGTGACACAGCGCTGCAGGCTGTGCCATGTGGCTTGCATCATGTGACGAGCTGGGACTCTGTATTTTTTAAGTACAGCCTGAATTAGTAGATGCTAAGTTGGGCTTGAAGCTAGACACTGAGTTGATGGACTGTGGGTCACCTCAACAACACCCATTCTCACCCGGGATTTGGAAACCAATTTTCGCTAAAGTAGGGCTGTTCACTGTACTGCGCATGGTGTGCCGCTGTATGAAGTTAAAAAATGACCGTCTATAACAGTTGAAAAAACACGATGACTACGGTACAATATATTTAATGAGCTGTATGATCTGGACATAACAGACATCACAGAAGCCCCAAGTCCGATTTGACCTGAGCATCTTCTACCAAATCCTACGGAATTCTGAGCAAATGCAAAGTTCGATATCAAATACAAACTTACAGATGATTGGGTCTCAATGATAAATGAGCCATGTTCAACAAACTCGTCATCCTCAGCGACTGCTTGATCCTCAAGCGCAGATGCTGGTTCAACTGCAGATACTGAGTAGGACGGTGTCCAGGGAGAACTACTGCGCTCTTCGCCAGGGTCGATAGTACCCAATTGCTGTTGAAAGTACTTAGCGTGACTTATTTCAGGATAAAAAGCACTCACCTACCAAACTCTCATCCTCAACGATGAATGACCCACGTTCAATTTCCTCCTCGAACACTTCCTCCACAGGAGCTGGCTCGGGTGGATTCGGTACTGAATGCCTCGCTAGAAATGAGAGCCTCTTCTACAAACGGAACAGGTTGCTCTTCAACTCCCTCCGCTGCAACAGACTGGGTGGCACTCGGAGGAAGCTGTTCCAAGTCATCAAGTCCCTCATTGGCCTGAGCAACGTTGCCTTGTACGGTCACCGAGTAAGAAGACGTCCAAGGTGATTTAGGGTGAGGCTCTTCCAGATCGCCAAGCGTAACCTATCCCCAAGTCAAGCTCAAAGCAAAAAGACAATGGACATAGGTGCTCACATGCTCCTCAACTGGAACGCCTGGTCCTTGAGTGATAATGCTGTACGAAGGAGTCCATGGTGTCAAGTACAGCGCGTCCCCATCGTACAGTGTACAGCGAATAGCCCTAAGAGTAAGGGAGTAAGAAGAGTGAGATAAATCAACCATGAGAATTTAACTTCTGTGAATGCTGGAAGGAGGAAGATTTGACCAGATTATGTAGCTTATTCTGGCATTCAAGCCCCCGGTTGGGCGTGGTTTGTAAGCATGGTGAATGCCGAGAAGTATCTGGTGATTCTCCTTCAGGATACATCTTGGTTGGACAATGGATAGTTATCCATAAAGATGTATCGGCATTTATGGATAACTATCCATTCAAGATACATTAATATAGCACTATAGGCTGTACCGTGACCACAGACAACAACAAATACCTGCATACAGTTTCAACCGTCCTTCCCCAGGCCTGTACCATGACCCTGCGGCAAGATCACGATGACCTACAAAATCAGGTTTTGTATCTGTCCACTGAACATGGCCGCTTATCTACAGATGTGAATAAATTGTATGAGCAAAACCGGTTGCTGTCAGAGAAACTCACTGCCTTGGAGAAGTTCTCGCTTGAGCTACAAGCTGCCTTAGCTGATGTCCAGCAACCGCCACAGGAGATGCAGAAGAAGAAAAATGTCCGACATGTGGTGAACTGATCATCCTGTGCTGAAGGTTAGACTTTCTTTGACTGAATAAAAGATGCACACTCACAAACACGCTGTAGACTCTCGTCCATCCTTTGTTTTTCGAACTCTGTCATGTGAATAAGACCTTGAAGAAATCGGTCCACATCAAGTTGCTGTGTGAGGTGGAGCTGTTGGCGACAGGAAAGCCTTATGAACTTTGTGACCAGAAACAAGTATGGCATCCTGATTGGAAAGGCCATGTTGACGACACAGTAAATGCTGCGTACATCCAGGAGATAGTCACAAGGCTGTGGGATGACGAGAAGGTGAGTTGACAGAACATTTGAAAGTCAAAACCTCACATTAAGATAATGAATAAGGTCCTTCGCAAGCATACAGGGAAAGGAGAGATTCCTGATGCTGACTATGAACGTGGAATCATTAGTGAATGCGCAAAATCATATTTTCGGAATATACACAAACAGTATCTCGAGCTAAATGACGATGAAAAGGCTGAGAAAGCTCAGCGATGGAAGACTAATAGCAAGCATCGTCCACGTATATTGGGTAGCCATAGTTGTTTATCGATGGAGATTTCGACTTTCTAGAAGACATAAAGTTATCAAGTGACTTATTCTGCAAAGAGAACGTGGTATGTACTTACTACAGGACCTGGTGTCGTTGTTTTGAAGGTGCATAAGATCAAGCTTGAACTACCTTTGAAACCAAGCGACCAGGGCCTATGGTAAGTTTTAGATTTAAATACAACCAACTAACTAAGTACCTTTGTAGACAGTCGAAATCACGCTCAGACGGCCCACCAAGCGGCCCAGATTACTACAAGTTCCTGAACATGTTGACCTCAGCGCGACCGAACCCGAAACTCCTGACTGATTTCAAGTCATGCGCTGGCAAGAGGCCCAGAAATATAAAGTAAGTACTATGCATCCTTGTAGCTAAGTAAATGCGCTGATATAATTGCTGATTTGCTTCTTCTAAACTTCCCATCCTAGCAGTGAGGATTGAAACCAAGTTTTGAAGCTCGTACCCCGCAGAATCATGATACAGAGAACCGCGATTGAAGCCTAGGTGCAGCATCATATGGGGCTGATGATGTGCAGGACCCGAAAGCTGACCGTAGTTGCCTCCAGGTCCGAGAGAGGGTGCGCAAGACCCTGAAGACTTGCTGCCTGAGAACGGAGTGCGTGAGCTGTGTCCCAGGTATGGAGTCTCTCCCTGAAATGACGGAGTGACTAAGTTTTGCGATACGCTAGGGGGACGCATTATATGGGACAGCGTTTGATGTTCCTGCGCCAGCAGCTTTGCAGCTTCACCAGCCTGAGGCGGTCGACTGAAAAAATCATCCACCTGTGGCAGTGCATGACTGCCAGCATTCAATAGCAGGATTCCAGGAGTCAGTAGAGGCGGAAACTGGTATGGACTTGTGTTTGAGTCGTGGCCTGGGGAACCAAACCGGTATGGATTCGAGTTTGAGTCATCTATTGGCTGATTGTCTTGATTTGGGAAGGTACTGGGAGGAGCACCACTAGGGCGGCATTGTGCCCCATACATCGTTAGATGATCGAGGGGATGGGGGGAATGGGGAAAAGCCAATGCGAAGCAACCAGAAGCTGGCAAATCCCCAGAATCATAGGGATCCGCACATTTGTAACCAGATGCTAATCCGAGTCAAATATGATTGTATTCAGACGCAAATCAGACATATGGTTTAGGTTCTACTGTGTCTGTGCACCTCTGCAACATCGAGTTTTCCAGTGTTGAACAACAGTCTGAATTGAGGATCTCTCCAGGTTCTAACACCTCAGAATCCGTGTCATTTGCTACATCTGTTTAGATACTGTTTACATCGTCTTTTCGTACCCTTTCCAGGTCTGATCAGTTTCTCACTTCTGCAGTGATTCTCCACCAAGGACGAATGTGATTGACAAGTCAGTCATCGAAAGCGGCCGTGGTGGGAAGTAAGCATGTGCCACCGCATGATAGTGTCGAGGATTATGCCCATGCTTGGGCTGAGTCTGCTTCAAAACATACCAAAGTCAGATTGAAACATTGAATGATACACAAGCGAGTTTGTTTCTTATCAGTGTTCCCTAGTATCAACGACCTTCATCACCGTGCTGTCTTATCACCGATCAAAATTAACGCAACTCGAAGTTGATAATACCAGATATCAAGAACCAAGAGCTGGACTGTTTACAAACAAGAGAACTATCCAATAACAACACTGCAGCTAACAGTTCTTGAAGCAGTAGCGAAGAGTCTGAGATGAATCTGGGGTCAGGAAAGTCCATGTGTATATCTACACCCGTATTTTCTTAATGCCATTGTTGTCATCTGCAAGTCTTTATTCCATGCTCTGTCAATGAGCACAGGACGATAGTGCACGTACCTGACTCGGTCTCGTGTACATGGAAGCTAACATATGCATATGATGAGATATGTGATCGGGGAGATAAATACACTTTGTTTTTATTGATCTCCCCAATACCATATCTCATCACCAGCACCACTTGAAGCTGATCGTACTAGATCTTGAGAACCAAGAGCTGTATTGCTTGCAATTCCTAATGGCCAATGTTCCAGCTATCGGCTCTTGAAGCGGTAGCAAAGAATGCAAGACGAATATAATGTTAGAAAAGTTGGAGTGCACAGAGTCTACACTCGTATCCTCCCAATGCCACTGTCGTCGTCAGCTACCCAGCAAGTCTTTATATCATACACTCCGTTGACGAATACAACACAATAAAAATGTGTGGCGGGATAGATGACCGCTCAAAATGCTAAACACAAAGAATTATCGCTGGAAAGATGACAGAGAAGAGGCATACAGGGGTTCACCTCAATGACATTGATTCTCCGTCCAACCACTGTAGCCACATGAATATGGACAGAATGTGCACAACGCGTGTGGGTTCCAAGGGTGTGGATGCGAGGGGTCTGTATAGTGAATTGAGTTTTCATAGACAATCGACAAATGGACGACGAACTCACGAAACTGTAAAGGGCACAAAGCCTCTAGCAATGTAAATCGATTGCCATGGGAACTCAAGTTTTGGAGAGAACTAAGGCAGTCTGGTTGTGAATGTAAGACACCGCACACTAATCGTACCATATATCAAGAACAAACAGCTCACTTGTCTGTGAATGAGAGCTGCTCTCAAAAATGAATGAGCTATCTATTATTGAGGGTAATGAAGAGTGTGAGGCAAGTATTGTGTTGGAGATGAGTAGACAAATGATGAAATCATGCCAAACCATCCCAAAGACCATCCTTGTCGGCGTCGACAGCCATCCATGAATTAAGTATTGTCACACCATATGTGGGGTACGCTCTGACAAAGAATGTTAATGTTGAGGTCGATGCAGGGCAATGAAAATATGTAGCAATGTCCCCTCAAAACGCTGAATACGAAAGATCATCGCTGGTAAGGTGAAGTAGGGAAGAGACATATGGCGGGTCGCTTTATTCTCTACACCAGAAAATGACTTGGAGACCACACAAATTAGGATAGATCCTTGATTAATGTCAAGACCGGAGAATAGGCTATTGGAAATTAAGTTCACTAGAACAGTCAAGTGATGCATGATGCACTCATGGTGTTCAAAAAGAACTAGAGATACGGAGCCTCTGAGGGCGCGACAGGCGATGATCACATCAAGATGGAGGCACGGGAGGGCAAGTTCAACATTTCATCCGCACCAGGATACTTATAGGCTCTCAAAATTCATGAAGTGGTGGTGATGCGCCTTGTGAACATTTGATGTTTGTTGTGTGGGAGCCCGGCTTGACCGGTCCTCGGGATCTGACTCTGAGTGAAAACTAGCTAAAGAACGTTCGAGGCTGCAGATGCCAATTTATCAATGATTCACTCTTTCCATGATTGTGACCGTACTATGACATTTCGATTCGTTGAATGTTGTCGTCGTTCAGAACAGAGTCTCATCGGGCTATAGCCGAATTACGAACCATGGTGATGAAATCAAGAAGAGGTCATTACATACCGGCACCAATAATTTAAAACATGGATTGAGCAGTCCTATACATAAATTTACACATTGTTGAAACTCACAGATACAACTGTGGTGCGTGTGACTGTCGTACAACTGTCTTCCAGCGGCACTCAGCCCAAAATGGATCGCGCTTATACCAACGGTCTGTCGGATGGGAGGTAACTCGGATGAGGTGGATGGATTGAGAGGTAAAGGCTAGATACGTCGTCAGTTGATTGCATGGGGTTTTATATAATGAAGAGAAATCAACAGAAAAACGGAGACAAACATCAAGCTTTCAAGGAGGATCAGGAGGTGCATCAACTCACGTGTAGAGTCACGTTTTGGCATTCAATGCACCATAGTTGAGCCAGGTCCTGCACAGATCTATATCCGGCCTGGGTGCATATAATGAGAAACGGAATCAGGGAGACATTGGACTTCAAGCTAATGCCACATCTCATCATGCTTGATAGTCGTCAACAATGTCATTTCTAGTTTCCGAAATGAAGGAGGAGTCTGGTGTTAGGCAAGTTGGATCTACATTGATCCTACCATCCTCATGCCATAGTCCACTCAAGTCAATGGATCACTTCAATAACGAGGCCCTACGCGTGGTCCTCTCCATTCAGTAAGTCAAATGCCCTTCCAAATGGACATACCTCAAAACCAAGTTCAAAGCCTTCACACGTGATGATCCATCATATAAGTCGCCTTGGATCGAGGAAGTCATTCAATGGCATTGACAGGTGCTTTAGTCCTTGCAGGCCTCGCACTCCTCCGTGATGCGATCTTCGGTGTGGAAGAGAGATGGGATTTGGATGTGGGTGGGGAGGAGAAAGAAGAGGCTAGGCGGTGAGTGAACTTTGATATTTTGGGTGGTGCATATTGGGCGTGTATCACATTGGCATCTTGGCATCCCGTCATCTTCTCAGTCACATTCACCTTCTTCTTGTTTATCGTACTACATCAATATTTCTCATTCATCATCTATTCCACCCACTACCCTTTCATTCTTATCATGTCATCCACCCAGAACCAACTCACCCATAGCCGCTGTCCGGGCACTCACCTCTTCGAATCTTCACTGTGGCTCTTAATAACCAGCATGCTCACGACCCTTGATATACACAAAGCAAGGGATGAGAAGGGCATGGAGATTGAGCCTGTTGTCAGGTTTTGAGAATGCAGTTTTTAGGTACGTTGTTCAATTTATTTTTGTCTTTGTTTTTGGGTGAGAGTGCGAGTTTGGGGGTGGCATTGTGTTGTGTTTCGGGTGGGGGCGGGAGTTGGCTTGGGATTTTGGTCCTTTATGTTCATTTTTACATTGTTTAACAAGTCTTCTAGGGCAAATATAACAGACCTGGTCGCTTACAAGTCTGGCTTCCTATGCATGTACATGAAGAAGCATCCTGATACATTGGTTGCATATGTCAATTTTTTTGGGCAAGTTGAGGGCATCTTGCTCATTGCTGAGATGTCTAGCATTGACTCCAAGGTAGGCCCAGTAAAATGAATGTCATATGGAGTCGCTAGTGTTGATAAATCCACCAGGGTATGACACTTATGTATAAGCTCAAGTCTGGACAGTTGAATATGACCCAGATATCATTTGACCCGCCACTTTTGGGGTATGAGGAAGTCAAACTCCGGCTTCTGGGTATAAAGGCATAGGCTCATGAGGGTCTCAGTATGGTACGTTTGGCTACCTTTACTTTCAGTCGATCTTGTCTCTGACAGTGATATATCCATGTAATATAGCTTAAAGCTCCACAAATAACCACATCCCAGATTCCTCACATGGTTGCCATGACAGGAATCACTTTGTTTGCATGCTTCTATTTCCTTTCGCCACCACCGCTTGACACTACATTCCTCTCCATACCTGTCACCACTATGGATGTCCCAGTGCATGCGTTCAAAACATCCTACTAGTCTTGGTCTTTCCTTCCGAACTATTTGCGCAATATTCTGCGCCATTCATGGGGCTGGAACGCTTTATATCTGGTCACTTTGCAGGTAATGTTTTAAGGGCGCTGACATGCACAAAACCTGTTTCGTACATGGTCATGGTAAATTTATGACACATGCTAGTCCTTACTTTAGTCTATGAACATCCCCTGAATTTTCTATACCTTACTTCAATTTAATTTGGACATTTCTGAGCATGTATCATCAAACTACGGCTTAGCGGTTCAAATTAAATACTTATCTTGCACACAAATCAGTGTCAAAACCCTTAATTTTTCATTAGTCAGCAATTTCCCACACCTTTCATGATTTTCTCACACATTTTCACATCTCATGAGACATATACAACATCTTAACATTTTTTACATTATCATCTCAATATTTGAACAATGTCAGTAGGTGATAATTAGTAAGAAAATCCATTTTATGTGATTGGTTGGACAAAGGATTGGTAATCAAATGCACAGCAATTAGGCAGTGCTAGAAGGACCTGTAGCACAGACTTTGCTGAGTATTCTAGAACATTCTATGAGTATCTTACTAATCATTCCATAACATTCCATGACATTCTATAAGATTCTATTGTTCTTTCTCAAACATTCTGGAATATTCTATAGTACATTAGTAATCAGTAGCACAGCCACTAGTCTAGTAGTATATAAGGGGCTCATTTTCCCCTCTTGTGAAGCAATCAATTTGATTCCCAAGTATTATCAGAGTGAGACAAAGTTTATAGGGGAACACAGGGGAACATTCTTTCACCCCTAAGATTCTTAGCCCCTACTATTTGAGTGAACATTCAAGTGATTATTAGGAGAAAATATTAGTTTATTTGCTCCACATCTTTGACATTATTCTTCACACATTCTTCAGAAGTATTTGGCCACATTCTTGAGCCATCTTTGATTACATAATCATCCTTTATTCTAGTTCTCTTTTAGACACAGGAAAAGTTCTGTGGGGAGAATTATACGTATTATTCATCAATTAGGGTAGACACAAATAAGACCTACAATCTGTCAACGAATATTAAGAGCTTGGCCACTTAAGACTACATCAAGAAGGTGTACTCTATTCTGGACTGCGTCATTACTCATTGTGAGATCCTGAGCAGCAGAGAGTTGGTTTCGAGGCCACGTATTGGGATGATCCCACTAGTGAATTTGTTCTCCATTGCTGAGTAAAAGTAAGAGATATCCAAGAGGGATATATATTAAAGTTCAAGCTCATTGCATACAGCTGCAACATATTATTCTGAAGTTTATAGCACTACCTTGTGCTACTATTGTTTCTATCGTTCTTTGCCTCTGTCACATCACTAGCATTTGCTTGAAAAGTTCAACACATCTCGTCCCCCACGAATGACCACATGTTATCAACCGTTGGTAATTGTCTGAACTGTTGACCGTCGAGGATTGTGAAATTTGGTGATTTTCTTGCCTTTCACATCCTAGTAAGACAGTGCTATAGTGACGGTATGCCTGTCTCGCAATTTTCTGAGCCTCACGCTTTAACTTTGTATCCAGGCTGCTTATGGTGACTGTACAATGATGTTTGTGATGTGGATAGATCTCAAAAGGCGCAGTTCAACAGAAACACATTGAAAGTGTTATGAAGGTTGAGTAATCAACCTTTTGCACACTTGTTTTCCATGGTGATTGTATATGTTCTTGTATGATGACATTGATGCACTAAGTTAATTTAATGTTTCGGGTGTTCAACTTGGGCCTGTGGTTGTGACAGTCTGAATATTTGTTTTAGGGATTCAGGATTCTCAATGGGTTTCAATCGACTTCGGTGTATCACACTAGAACGACCTTACGCTGTGATACTTCGCATTCGTCTGTCCAGGGGCTACCAAGGACATCTTGTCCAAATAATTCATCCACCCTGTGAGCGATAAATGATGTACTGAAGAAGGGTTTGTCAGAGTTGGGAAGAGAGCAACAATGGCAGGGTTTGACATCGACTACAATGTATACTTGCGCATAAGAGCTAGAAGGGCAATGAAATCACAAAACACAAAGAATTATCACTAGAAAGACGAAAATGAGGAGACAGGTGGTGATTAGCTTCAATAATTATCATTCTTCATTCAATGGTGGCCGCACAAATATGGACAGATTGTGCAGGTTCCAAGCAAGGTCAAGTGAGGAACGGTGTATGGATGGGCATTTTCAAGCAAGAGGTTTGTATAGTACATTGAATTTTCCAAGAAGATCCAGAAACGGACGATAAACTCAAGAAATAGTCGAGGGTACAAAGCCTCAAGCAACGATTTCAACACGAACATAAGCTGTTTGCTATGGGACACAAGCTTTGGAGCGAACCAAATGCATTCTCATCATGAACACAAGACACCACTGGCACACACTAATCGTACTGCATATCAAGAACAGAAGTTTGACCTGAGAACTCGCTCCAAAGATGAACTAACCATCGGCTTGTACTACATAATGGTTGACAGGACACGAGGTAACTTGAATGCAAGGGGGTAGATTGAATGGAAAGAGAAGAGAAAAGATAAGGTCTTACATATATACGCATACATCGACAATGTTGGTCGATAGGTTTATAGTCAATCAACAGACAAATGGAGACAAACAAGGAAGCAGGCTCGGGGGGAGTACTCACGAGTCACCCCACTTCCCCCAGGCCTAGGTCCAAAATCCCTCCCCATTATAGGCTACATCCTTGATCTTACTCCAAAAGAACTCTGGTTCACTGCATGCAAAAAGGCGCACATGCAGACCTATAAGTTAATAATGTACATCCACATGTTTAACCACCGGCAATCCCTCGTATTCTTCAACACCCCAAAAGCAGTCTTTGTTCTCTTATATAAGCACAGGTTGGTTTATAACAATAAATCGCACCTTGACATTGATATTACATAATATTGCTGGTGAGCTTTGTGGGTGCGGCACAGCAAGAAAATAATGTTCACTCCAAATTCACTCTGTATGGGGAGGAGACATGTGAGAAAGCTCTTTGTGCAAAAAGCGGAATGGTTTTGAAAGTCCGCTTCTTCTGAAGACTACACCACCAACTGCCCAAAACCTCCAGGTAGACCCAAAAAAGTGTTAGGGTGTGATAAGCCTTACCACGGTATTGATTATATGGTTTTCGCACTATATATTTCAGAGCAATTTAGTAATTGTCTGAGTCACCTAGTGGGCGCAAGATTAAGGAGACCTGCAAACGGTAACCTGAGCATATTATAGAGAGACCTGAGGGTACATTGACAATCCAGGGCTGTTGTTCACATCAGGTTGTCATGTTCCTATAATATTTCGAACATACATCTCAGAAACATCTCATGCTACGGCTCGTATAGATATCAGGTTCAATATGTTCGGTGTAGGTTCAATTGACACCTCGCCCAGATATCACGCTTTGTATGTTTAGAGCACCTGCTCGGTATGTAGGTGTCATATCATTATCACATACCAGTCATGTTGTTACTGTATAATCAAATAGCAAAAACACAAAATTAAGCCACGAAACATTTGCATTGCATTACTGATGATGTATTAGACACAAGCAAAATTAAGCTGTACTAAATGAGTGATACTAAATGAGTGATGCTATTAAATGAGTGATATGCGTCAATGCACTGCCAGAAAGTGAGAACGAGTGGAAATGAAAATGAGCAGTTGAAAAATTCAACTTCACCATAAGAGCTGGTTCTGGATGGTAGTCTGCCACTGGGGGCTAGTGGTAGTGAGGAGCTTCAGAATGGTTCTCCTTCCAGGAAATTCAGTGAGGTCCAATTGAAAGTATTCCACAAGGATACTTTGTAAAATCAGCAACAATGAGGAGGGCAAATTGATGGGAAACATACTCGCGAAAAGCATGTTCATATGTCAGAGAACCACCCGTCCCCTCCTGCTCACTGACCCGGGCCCTTGCTAGCTCACGAATGCTGTCGAGGGAGTCATCTACAAACTTCCAGAACTTAGACAAAGAGTAAACAGCAGGGCGTCCTTTGCTTTCAGATCCTGAATTTTCCTCATCAACTGGCAGATCTCCTTTGCCTTGGTCCTCATCCTCTGCTCCTTTGCCCCCGATATTCTTGCCCTCATTTCTCTTGCTGGCCGCCGTTGTCAGTATTCTCTGTGTCTTGCATCAGATGGTTCTTCATCTAAGAAATTTTCAGATATCAGCGGGGAGTATTGGGTTTGAGGTCTCTGATCAACATCGCCATGTATCCCGCGTTTCGCTATAGTGTCCATGTCAATGCCGAGTTTCTCGTTGATTTTTGATGTGAAGGTCATCGTGAAGTGATGGAATGAGTGAGTTAGAAAAAAGAACTTTGAGGGGTACAGTCTTGTAGTCGTCCACACAGATAAGGAAAATGCACAAGCAGCGCCGCTCTAGATTGCATGTCATTGAACCGTCTGTTGTCAAAATCGAGTGAGGACATACCAAAAATGTGAATCCTATTCCAGTGCATAGAATTAACCTCAATGCCGCAGTGATGAGCAAGAGACTTTGTGGTCTCCATGATACTCAATCGTTTGATGATTGATGTTGTCAGCTGAGCAAGTATATCTCACTGATTAGTTTACATAGCAGTGGCAAAACTTGACAAACCTTGGCCTTTATGTTGCCGCGGATGGATGAAAGCAGGTCACTGACCATTTTTGACAGTTGTGCATTAAGTTCCACGTCTTCAAGCATTGCCACGGGGATTTTGAACACATCGTGATGCTTCCTGACAAAGTCCTGTTGCAGTTTCAACATCCAACTAATACAGTGATTGACTTGAAGAATACCATAATGTGAGTGTGTGCATCGGTGACATATGTGGTGATGTTGGGTGACAGCATGCACGCAGTGAGACGACTCTGGATTCTGGACTGCATTTTGTTTGATCAACTTATACTGCTGTACATTTGGACAGCCACTGGCATACCTTGAAGTCCTTAGAATCTAGCAGCTCTTTCAACTGGGCGAGCTCTATCTTCCTGGTGTCTTCATTCCACCTCAACAAGGTGGCCTTGATGTCAATAAGCATATAGTATATCCCTCCAGTCTGCAAGCAGGGCAGCCGTGTCAGAAAGTTGTGTAGCACCAAAGGAAAACTTACATCAATAAACTCATGAAGTTCCTCCTCGGCAACACCTAAGTCATTGGCAACCTTCATCGCATAAACTTTCAGTCTTTCGCGCGTACAGGCGTAAGGACAGTTGGGTCGCCACGATCAGGACTTGAGTCAGTTCGTCGACAGTGTACACCTGTGGTAATGTTTTCATCAAGCGATCCATCAGACATTGCAGATTGCAAATTGTCACGAGAATGGGATGCGCCAACAGCAGATTGTGACTGAGAACTTGTACTACTGCTGGGTGGTCTAGACGTCTGGGAGAATCCTAACGGTGAGCATGCACGTCCTATACTCCCTGTTCCTAAACCATTTGCAGGAGGTCGAGATCCACTACGAATACTTTGAATGGAAGCTGAATGACTCCTGCCTCCTGGACCTCTGGCAGCATCTGGTGTTAACAGACCACTTGTTGAACGTGGCTGTGGAGCGCCTTGAGTGCATATGGGATAGCACTGGAGTAACATCCTGAAAGCTGGGCAAAGGAAGGATGCAAGACGATGAGTCCAGCTCTGAGATCTGAGTGAGTGTTCTGCCTGAATGCCATAAGAAATCAAAGCTTATTAAGGACATGCTTAACATTTGCGTGTTTCACATGAGGCTCAAATCTCGATGGTGGAAAATTGCTCATACAATAAATTACAAAGTTAGAAGGGAGCACGTAAATTGAGGACTGTATGCTATATGTAAAGTACGGGTCTTATTCAAATATGTATTAGTCTGACTGTATGCTTAACTCCAATGTGAATTGCGATATGCAATGACACATAGTTGACGCCCTGAAGATTGCAGTGGGTTTCTGGAATGACAGTAGCTTGATCCCAGCGAGATTTCTTAGGTGTCTCACTGGCGGCCTGCAGTGGGTTTCTGGAATGGCAGTAGCCTGATCCCAGCGAGATTTCTTAGGTGTCTCACTGGCAGCTGCAGTGGGTTTCTGGAATGACAGTAGCTTGATCCCAGCGAGATTTCTTAAGTGTCTCACTGGCGGCTGCACTTTTACTGAAGTAGCATTCCAGAAATAACAATAGCCTGAGCGACAGATGTCATGGATGAGTGGAGCGCTGTGTAGGATAAGGTGTGGGCGAGAAGGGGGAGATAGAGGACAGATGGGGGTAGTGATGCTGTGGTGGTTGAGGCCTGGGTCGACTATTAGGTCCTGCCAGTGGGAAGGTATTAGTCGATAGCATATGGTGTAAATGAGGTGCGGGTGGTGGTGGATGCAAAAAGGCTTGATGGCCCGGATGCCAGGTAATCAAAGCTGATGGGAATGCATGAGCATGTAATTGGGGTGGAGAGCCAAGCATGATTGAGGGGCAGGAAGGTGCAGTTGGAGGGGAAGGTGTGACATTTGTGGATGCATGTGTGATTGGCCTGGGTTGCAGAACTTGAATCATGTATGGCTGAGGTGGTGGAAAGTGGTACGATTGAGGTGGTGAGGAAATGTATGATTGAGGCACAGGATTGTGCAAAAAAATGAGGAGTAATATACGATGGCTGTGTAAAATATCGCTGATCTGGAGCAGCAGTATCTGCTGTGTTTTGCTGTGGAGGTGATGCTGGTCTAGAGGGCCCCACAACAGCTTGACTGGTGCGTGATGGTACAGTCTTCTTTCTTCTTCGCGTGCTGGAACTGCCGGCCTTTGCTTTCGGTTTGGCACCCAGTCTTCACAGTGGTGGGAGCACAATCAAAGACTGCACATGGTACTGGGGCATCTCAATGTGTTTCACCCTCTTCCTTGTTGAGGTATATTTCCGGATTTTTTTGGCTGCTCCACTTCTCCCACATTTGCCGCACTGCCAATGCTCGAACTTCGGCCACATTGGTCACTCTCAGTGGTGTCTCACAAAGGGTATCGGGCATAACAAGATTGATGTAGTCGTAGTTATGAACAGAGTATACATTGAGGAGGTAGTGTGGGGTCGGCTTGTGTTGAATGATGGGCCTTGAGCGAGATGTTATGGTCCGTTCTTGATATATGGGTTGCTGAGCAGTGTCGGTGCAATGTGAATCGATGCAGTTATGTTGGACATTGACAGAACACACAATATCCTGCAAGACAACACTCATAAGATGCATCACCGACTTGTGAAAGCAATGACAACTTACGGTGGCGGACAAAACTACTTCATCATCAGTAAGATCTAGACATGGAAGATGAAGAGACGGGTGCAATGTCTCTGTGAAGGAAAAGCGCTGGAGAGCGACGTGTTCTACCATTCGGTGGTCGTCAGGATGATACAAGTATTTCCCAAATATGTCCAATGTACATCTGAAAACATCTTGTCAATTATTTGCCTTGTAAGTTCTAACAAACAACCCGCCTTTCCATCTGCTGACGGTCCGAACAATAACTTCACTGTTGAGGTATGCAGTTTTCTCCTGTGCTGGTCACAGTACATTTGCCCTGGTGGTAATCAATGTTTGGATCGCATAGGATGGTTCTGGGAATATTCGCACAACAGTGTATCCTTCCAGGGAACTGTGTCCTTCCAGACTTTCCGGTTACTGTTTCGACTTTTCCTGACCCTATACACAAATGAGTCATGAAATAATGAAATGTATGGTGTTATTCACCAGGTATTGGAGCGCTGCGACTGAAGTTCAATAACCCTGAGCAGCCGTGCTTGTTTGGGGTGCTCATCAAGATAACTTAAGACCTGGACTCCTGATGAACCCATTTCTTGATCTTGCCATCATACCAGTAACCGCCAGTAGCAACGTGCTTGATGATGTCCTGGTGAGCAAATACTTTGCAGGTGTCTCTGCTTGGCGCTTGGCAATTGCTATATATGCAAGACAAGCAGAAAACTGTGGTTAAAAGATTCGTATCTGCTCCAGTCGAGAAGATAATTGCTGGTCCAAACTGTCGAATATAAGCTGGGAGATGAATGAGAAAATGGAATTTGGGTTTGCTAATCAGGATACTTGGCTGCGCACTGCGCCATCATGTTCAGAAAATCTTGGATCAGTTCGTGTTAACTTTGCCTATCGAAAGATGATTAGAAAGAGCAGGCATTCGAATATACGTGATATAAGAACTTACAAGGTAAACCTCGGTGTTTGCTATTTTCGTGTGCCAGACAAGGACAACGAGTTCACCCATGACTGTCCAGCCATTGAGGACTGTTGGTGGGACAAGGTTGTAGATGAGGAATGGCATTACTTGCGCCAAGCTCTTGAAATGCTTTCCGATCAAGCTGCCTTTGTAGTTGCAGATATAGTTGGCATTGAGGCAAGGAGCATTTAGCCCATCCTTGTTAATGGTCTCGAGGGGGGTCTGAAAGAGATGCAAGAGCTTTGATTTCTCGAGGAGGAATACTGTTTGCCCCCAGAAGTATTTTACGACACCTAGCAGTATTGTATGGAGGATTTCAGTCAGTCGTATCCATATGGACATTGAACGCTGATTTAACATGAGCGTAACATTTACATCATTTTCAAAAACACTCACCTGTGCATGCCTAGCAGGGGATTGATCACATCATCGAGCTTTCCACCTTGCAAGAGCTGCTCGAACTCTTTCTCAAGTGTGATTCTGACCTCGTTTTCAGGTATTGCTGGAGAACCCACTGTATGTTTCCTGAGTTTCTTGCCAAGTTCCAGCAGTGTGTTAAGGATGGAGGCTGAAGCTGTATCACAAATACCAGTTGACGACATGGAGTTCTTCACCTTCTCCGAGGCACCCGATAGCATTGCGGTCTCGATTGCTGTCGAACTGTGTCCGCAGTACCCTCCGGTGTTCGAATATTGCCTGACTGCAAACACAGAATCAGTAGTTAGAAAACACTGAAACAGACTTTCAAACATTGAAGATGCTGCTATATCCAGCCTCAGACTCCTTATATTCCTTCGTGCCACCAACATCACACATCCTGCAATAATAGTTGCAGTTCAGCCCAGCATGGCTGCATTCTTCAGCTTGCATGGGATTGTCCCCTGGCGACAAACAATCCGTAAGGGATGAGCATGACCTCCTCACTGTCCTTGCAGTCCCATGCAACGATGCCAGATTCAGCTGCAACACTGCAAATCGCGACCACTGACTGAGAATATGAGCTAGACAACAAAAAACATGCACATACCAGATAGACTCTTTCATGGCTCGCATGAGCTCCATTGGTGCAGCATGACGGTGAGGATGTGACGAATCGCACAAAAAACTCTTTCTCAAGCATCTCGCACGGCACGTTGGCATTTGACATGTAAATGGCGTGATGTTTGTTCCATTGCTTCAACACATTGCCCGACACGTCATCCATAAAAACAATTAGCTGGGATGGCATAGACCATTCGACCGTTGGACTTCTCGCGCAATGGATTGGGCATAAGCAATGCAAACTTAACTGAAGAAGCTGTTATGTGGTTAAGTCCCGCAATCACTAGTGCACTTGATATAGAACATACCTGTGAGACCACAATCGAGCTCACCACGACAGTTGCAGCGATATCTTTGAATGATCGCACAAAGGCCGAAGTGGGTATAATCTCTTGTTCATCGTTGACGATGAATCCAGCCTAATTCGCTGTGTCAGTGATCAGCACAAAGTCATAAATCTAGTATCAAATAACATATGTCAGTCTATTGAGCAGCTCAACCAAGGGCATACTGAATTTTCACGTTTGGTTGAGCTCCAGGTTCAACTTCGTCAGTGGGAGGACATGAACCAAGAATCAAGCGCTCTGGGATAAAGTATGCCTTGGATGATTCTTGCAGCAGCTCGTTGATAAAATATATTGTGCCATCAACCCGAACTGCAGGGCAGTGATGGGAGATCATGCAGCATCTTTGTGCCATTAAACACCTGCAACATTCCTTCGCCTCCATCCTCTGGGTAATCTTGCATCGCGAATTGAGTGAGTGGGTTCGCATAGTCCTGAAATATCATGTCAGTATCATACACACCTATGTAACATATTAGACAAACCCTAGCAATTGATTCTGTGACATTGTTGATATAAAATGTGTCCCCCGAGCGAGCTGAGACCTTCTCAGTTGGATCACCAACAAGATGGTCAACATGTTTCTGGACCTTCTTGACCGCGCCTGAATGAGGGAACATCTCGAGCGCCAAGGTCTCTAGCCCAATTGAGGACTGCCTTTTTCTGCCCATCAGAAAATGGGTGGTGGGGGGAGCTGAAAAGAAGCTGACGTGATGAAGTTCTCGACATAGCTGTGAGCATTGAGTTTGCAACTCATACGAAAAAAACTCACTGCTTTGGATGTCCATGGGTATGTTGGACTATCTCAAGAGGCGATAACATTGGTGCCCGTCATATCGTAAATGCCATCATCTGTACACTTCGTTAAGCGCATTGTCATGGAGCACAACTCGAATTTTACACTCACCGGGAAGTTCAATCCCGAAATCAGGCACACTATCATTGAGGAGCTCACACTCTCCATTAACAGGGGCAAGAGGCGTCGAGAAAGGAATTTCCCCGCAGGCAAGACTTGCTTGGAGCTCGGTGAATAGGTCCAGATGAGCTTCTTCAAACCCATATTGCTGGTCACCTGCAATGTGGTTCAAAAGCTCGGATAGTGGGACCTCCATGTCCACATCAGGTATGTCTGCGTCCATGTACAGGTTTTTGGAGTCGTGGTGAGACGCTGTGGGGTTGGTGTTTGTTGAGGTAAAGATGGGGTTCCCGGCTTTCTTCCATCGCAAATTCCCCTCAAGACCAAGTGGTACAGAAGCAGTGGCCTGTTGACTCTTGACAGATCTTTGAGAGAAACGTTGATGCACGTTCTGGGAGATATTCTTTTCGATGTGTCGGATGGCCATTGTGCGCAAGACACCTGCTCTGCGAGGGCATACCATGCAAATGACATTTTTGCTTCCATCATCACAATATTTTATAACTGTAAATAAAGAGCAGGTGAGATATAAACAACCATGTGAATAACAGACTAATGAAAACATACTATCACCATCAACAAACTTATGGTTCATGAACGGACGAGGTGGGTGGGGCAAGTAAGTTTGGCAAGTGGCTGGAGGGTTGATTGAGGCTTGGGTAGTGGCACTTAGTATCAAGCACCAGTACACAACAATGATACCATGAGCACCTCTAGTAGGAGGACGTTATGGTGCAGAACCGCTCCTGGTCTTTGATTTGCGCATTAGATCTACTTCAATACTCAAAATGATGGGACTCACAGATGGGACGAGATGATAGCTTGCACGAGTCTTGGAGATGATTATCACAGTGCTGTCAGTGTCAGTGATTGACTTGAAGTTATTGAGCAACATAGTCACGTGCCTTGCAATATGACTTTGAACGACCAAGTCCAAAGTCCCACACACTTCCTCAGACTTCAGATTTCAACATTCCATGGATCCTGAAATACTCACCAATGTTCCAGTCGTCTATCCAGACATACAACACAAAGAGACCGGATGTTTATCTCTGCAACCACTACTTCTCACAGTCTGCTTTTCGGGTATGCTACCAGGGGAATTTCTACAAGAAAACATTGTGAGTCAGCATTGTTCTGTTCAAAACAAACTTAAAATCATCTGTTGCAGCCAGTTCAAATATCAGTATCTATTGCCGAGGAGTATGGGATGTTTACCACTCGCAGTTGTAAACACTGTATCAATGGATATGAGGGATCCTGATAGCTGGCAGGCAAATTCGCTTCCCTCAAGTGACGTGAGTGCACATTCTGTTGCAAACATACTAAATCACTAGTACTTACATTGTGGCACAGCTGTTTTTCTTTAGCTGATCGCTGCGCTGCTCCTCCCCCAGATGATAGCACTCCATTTTTTCCACTTCCATCAACGTTCGACCACCATGATCGAGGAAATTGGTCAACATTGTCAAAGGAGATTGAGTTATGGCTGGTGTCCAAAGTGGATTCAGAGTCACCACTGTGGGCTTGGGGATGCAATGCGTTTTGGCTAGCATTATTGGGGGATATCCGTGCTTTCCAAGAGGCAGATGGCCCATGTGGGATTCTCGAGTGCCGTTGCAGGGTACATTCATTGAAGCATGGTTAGACCAGTCGAGTGGTGCCAAGGGGAATTGGATTGGAGTGCAAAGCGCCCCCTGAAGTATGTGATCATGTTTGGGCTGAGTTCTGCATGCATGCAGCCCTCTTCTATCCCAGTCCCCTCATTTCTTCTGACTGCCTTCAGGATGATCAAGCTTCCGCTTCATATGTTTCAGTATGTTAGAACGCCTATATCACATAACTTGTCGTTTTTGTTAGCATCTATGGTTGTAGGACATGTGCCAATTTTATGTGCTTGGATTGTTGCCACCTTGAACCACTGGAAGGCCTGCAGTAATATTCAGATCATTGATGTTGGAATAACAAGCACACACTAAGCCGTCGAACCTTATACCCTTGTCTCGTATGTTCACTCTATTGTCTCATACTTGTGCTTTATGCACTCTTATCGGTTGATTCACCTTTTGTACTTATGACTCTATTGACTGCTTTGGCCAGCGCCAGGTGTACCATTATGTATGTTTCAGTCTCATTTGCCTCTAACAAGACCCGTTTTCTCTATTTAATCAGTGTATATTGGACTTGATACCTCAGACGTTCACATCCGCATGCTCAATCTGAGGTATGACACTTTGTTTTACACATATTCACCTATGCTAACTAGTCTTAGTGTATCTGTTCTTAATAGGTGAATATTGACTTTAGACGTTCACATCCGCGTGCTCAATCTGAGTGTATCTGTTCTTAATAGATCCATGTGAGAAGCTTGTACTAAGCTAAAAATTGATAGTCGAGTCGATGGTAAATCGTCCAGATCAGCGACGGTCAACATGTATAGACCATAGGAACAAACATAGGCCACTCAACATTAGTTATATACAGTATAGGACCAGTCCTTTGCCCACCCCCACTCCTTTACCCACCTCAGGCAAAATTCATTATTTCTTCATTTTTTCACATCAACATATAGGAAGATATTAAAGATGAGGCCTCAACGGACATTTATATAGTATACGATGAAGAATTGATGTTCACAATGTTGTGCATGACACAAATTAGTTGATTTTTCCTTCCTGTGTGAATTTTGTTGGGAGCCATAGTACATCAATGATTTTTTTTGAGAAAAAGTGGCTGGTAGAATACAAAGTATATACTTCGGACATCATTTTCACCTGCAACGGATTTGTGGATACCTCCTTTGTCCCTTCTGCAGAGTACATAGATTGAACATGGGTAGTTTTCGAAGGTCTTATCTTGGCGAGCTTGTCACACATGGCTGTCACGCTATTCAGCTTTCGATAACATCATCAATTTTCATTGCCTTTTGAATTACAAATCCACGGTGTTGCGTGATGTGACATCTAAATCGAGGTGGGCAAAGACTGGTGAAGTCAAAGATAACGCTGTTTTCAATGATCTTGCTACAACACACCAACGTCATCGTCAATAGCTCTCAAAAAATTTCGCAGTATTTACATGTACATTGGAATATTACTGTCTACTACAATTTTCGAAAAAACGAGTTATTATGAAGTGGGATGCATTTCAAAATGTGGTGGGCAAAGGACTGGTCCTATACTGTATACATACAACCTCTCTCAGATGTCTCAGCTTCTGATCTTTACCACAGGTCTCCGACTGATATACCCAAAATATCCTTCACGTGGCCTCACATCGAACCTTGATGCAGGCCCAAACAACCTATTTCCCGTCTTTACCAGATATCGAGTCAAATGCACTGACAGAGCCTCTATTTGGTAGCTTTACTCTACAAATATGCTATTTATCTACCAAAACCTTATTATAGCCAAGATTCAGGTCGTGGTAAGGTCGCTTAAATGGTTTTCGCACTATGTCTGTTCGGCCCAAAGAGGCAGTTGGTGGTGTAACTTATCTCGGACTCCAAGCCTACGACTCCCACCGTCTTGCATTCGACCAGCGCCTGTCATTTCCACAATACTAGCTAGGCTCGATCTGGGCGCAACCAGACCCATATAGAATGGTTCAGTCCCTTTGTTCGTGTCATTTTCAGTGGTTTTTGTATTGTTTGCATTATTTGAAATGCTTCGGATTCTACATTGTCTTCATGTGCTAAATGATGAGTCCTAGCAAGCATCACAGGATGCTCTGTGTCTTTGGATCTTGAAACAACTGCGTCCTATGATGATGTTGGAATGGCAGCTAGTTTAAGGTTACATTTGGAAGCCACGCATATCACTGGTGTACGTCTCAATATGCTGTTGTTCCTGTCCTTCACTCACAATTCTGCTAGTTGAGGAGTCGTAAATTTAGTCATGACTGTTTGTGTATTCATGATGGGTAATATGGTGCGCCTGAAACGCTCTCAAATACTCCACTCGAGGAGACCGCGCTGTCGAGTATAACCAAAGTCCATTAATGTCAGCTCACTCTGATCGAAGCATATATTTCGATTCCCTGTGCCGTCAGTAATGTCGAGGCATGCACGTGTATATGAGCGTCAGAACTTGAACCTGGCTAACCACGGATAAATTGATGACGCAAGTGGAAATTCAAGCGGCTCCCATCCCTGCGGTAGAGTTTAAAGGTCGGTTACATGCGACCGACACCTTTATAGAATGGTTAACGACCCATGGGTTCTTCGCATGGACGGGTAAATTCATGCTTTACATCAATGGCAGGCCACAGGCCACTCATACTCCTCATGAACTTCGGCGCTTTTGTCCGTGACGTATTCATGGACATGCCTGTTATGTGAGGCAAAGATAGAAGATCGAAGTAAAGGTGGTGGATAACCGAACGGCATCACCATGCTTCAGCTTACGTAGTTCATCGTTCGGTTCGTCGCACATTACATTCAACCTTCTGATAGCCTTGCTTAAAATTGACACTCTGGCTATAAGCGCTCTACCCTGCATTCCATATGATCATACTATCCAAGCACATCTCACGTCTCATCGCCAGACTTACCGCATTGGACATATACCACGATACCGCATATTTTCCTGTGCCGTCAGTGATTACGATGGCCTCAAGGCATGCACCTGTGCATAAGCGCCATCGCTTGAACCTGGTTTATCATGCATGAATTAATACACGCGCCAACCCTTCAAAATAGAGCAGAGTGAACAGACGCCATTATCCATAGATTCAGCGATGCTGGCAACTCTGCATGCGTCCTGCAACACCGGAATGTGTGGTGGCCTTGAGGCATGCCATATATGTGTATGAGGGTTAGCGCGTGAACCTGGCCCATCCTGCATAGATTGATGCATGCGGCTGCACCCATAAAAAGATAGCAGAATGAACAGACGATGTGCCCTCAACTTTATGATGATCCTCTTACTTTTCGCTGTCCTCTTCTGCGCTCCCTTTGTTCGCGCTTCACTCCCGGGTCTCAACGATACCCATATCCTTACACTCGATGCCAGCAACTACCCATCCTCCAACACCAGGACCTTATGGGACATTATCTCGAGTTGTGGGTTAACTTTGTTTGCGTGCACATGGACTGCCATCCATCCGGACATTCCGGGTAAGGATGAGTGGGTAGCTGGTACTGCCCTTCGTCGACTAGTCCTCATGCTTGTGGCGTTTCTGGCCCCTGAATTCGTGGTCGCTTGGGCCGTATTGCAGTTTTTCCATGCTCGCCAAGTTGCGAAAGACTTCAATGATGGCGTGAAACGAGCCAAGGCCCGCAACTGCTGTCAAGCTATGTTACGTGGTGGCAGCACAAGTTTAGACGATGGTCAGTTACATATTCGGACTGTTCAGTCAGGAAGAAACTGACATGAAACTTACACCTTAACAGGATGGACATTGACGCACGGGTTCTTCGCCTGTATGGGTGGATTCATGCTCTACGTCAATGATGAGCTGCGGGGCAGTCTTACGCCAGACGAACTCCTGCAGTTTGTTCGTAATGGATCCGTGGAGCGGCCTGCCATCACGGAGGCAGAGATACAAGATCGAAGCAAGAGCGACACGATATCCAAATGGCTCGCCATTCTTCAGCTGCTGTGGTTCATCATCCAGCTCTTCGCCCGTTACATTCAGAAGCTCCCGGTAACACTGCTTGAAATCGACACCCTGAGTGTAGTTGTTATGACCTGCATTTCCTATGGCTTTTGGCTGAATAAGCCGAAGAACGTACGACTTCCTTATAAGGTTCATTGGAAGCACCCAACTCCACCTGACAGCTTGGACAGCGAGTACGTCATTGTCATCAATAATCTTGGTAGAACTTGTTTTGACTCGCCTGCATTCTTTGCAGTGCAGGACGTGACACATTATCAGTTCTTAAGGCACTATTCAGCTACACGCCCCAAAGGGTCGTGACTCCAGAAGAAATCATGCTTAGTATTGGATTCGCCGGTGGGATAGTGTTTGGAGCGATACATTGCCTGGGCTGGAATGTCTTGTTTCCGAAAAACCCAGAGCAGAAATTGTGGCGTGGGGTTTCCATTTGGATACCAGCCCTTCTTTTAGTAATGCTTTGTGTTTGGTGTGGAAGAATTATACGCAAATTGGTCAATGAACAGACGCCGTTCATCGATATCATCAGACCGATATTGCACGTACCCGTACGCCCGCAATCGTCGCGCTGGGAAATTCGTTTCATTAATTTCATAAGCTTCATTGTCTATTACAGTTCTGCACGTTTGATGGTAATTGTACTTATGTTCCTGAGCTTACGATCACTACCTCCTGGCGCCTACGATACAGTAGTTTGGACCCAGTTTATTCCGCATGCAAATTTGTAGTTTCATTACATCGCTGTAACAGAGTATGGTAACTTGCCTGAGTCTTCATCGATCGCTGTTGAAATTGGAAGCGCGAGTACGATTCGAACCTGATAATTAACAGGTCACCGTTCCACTTACATACCGTACGAGAAACGCTCGATCTATCGAAAGGCTGCTACTTGAATATGAATGAACAGTAAACAGTTCCATCGAAACGTAGCTACGACAGCGTCTGGACAAGCTGCATGCATGCATGCTATTGAGGGTTGGAAAAAAGAGCAGTCCTGGAATAGTTTATGAATGTATGTGAACATCATACCAATCTACTCACCCCAAATGTATCCGACTCAGTCTGGAGCGTGAAATTTGATACATGCATATGATGAGCTATGGTATTGGGGAGATAAAGGCTCTTGAAAGTTTCTACTTCGCCAACACATATCTCATCACAGTAGAATATCCGACGTGTGTGATCTCGTCACCTTCAAGTTAATACAACTTGAAATCAATCATACCAGATATCAAAAATGGAGAGCTAGATTACTTGCAATTCTTAACAGCCAGGGATCCACCTATCGGTTCTTGAAGCGGTAGCGAGGAGTGCGAGACGAATGTAGCGTTGGGAGAGCCAGAGTAGCTTGTTGCTTATCTATCTCTCCCAATGCCATTGTCGTCATCAGCGACCCAGTCAGTCATACCATGCGCTCTGTCGATAAATACAGGGCGATAAAGTTATGTGGCAGGATAGATGGCCGCTCGAAACGCTAAACGCAAAGAATGATCCCTGGAAAGACGACAGAGAAGAAACATACGGTGGTTTGATTCGATGACATCGATTCTCCATCCAACCACCGTAGCCGCACGAATATGGACAGAACGTGCACAACGCGCGTGGGTTCCAAGGGTGTGTGGATGCGAGGGGTCTGTATAGTGAATTGAATTTCATAGACAATCGACAAACGGACGACGAACTCACGAAACTGTAAAGGGCACAAAGCCTCTAGCGACGCAAACCGATTGCCATGGGAACTCAAGTTTTGGAGAGAACCAAAGGCAATCTGGTTGTGAACGTAAGACACCACACGCTAATCATACCGTATATCAAGAACAGACAGCTCATTCATCTTTGAACGAGAGATACTTTCAAGAACGACTGAGCTATCCGTTCTTGAGGGTAGTGAAGAGTGCGAGACGAGTATGGCGTTCGGAATGAGCAGACAAATTATGAGTGTATGGCAGTTCATTCCGAATGCCATCCTCGTCGGCGTCATCAGCCATCCATGAACTGGGTATTATTCACCATATGGGGGATATGCTCTGATGAAGAATGTTGATATTGAGGTCCATGCAGGGCGATGAAAATATTTGTGGTAGTGTCCCTCGAAGCGCTGAATACGATTTTTTTTTTTTGATGGTGAGCTTGATCAAGTAGCTAGGGAAGAGACATACGACGGGTCGCTTTAATCTCTACACCAGAAATGACTTGGAGACCACCCGAATTAGGATAGATCTTTGATGAATGTCAAAACCGGAGTGTAGGCTATTAGAAATTGGAACAGTCAAGTGATGCACGGCGTACTCACGGTGTTCAAAAAGAACTGGAGATACAGAGCCTCTGAGGGCGCGACACGCGATGAAGAAGATGGATTGAGCGGTCTTATACATAAAGTTACACATCATTGAAACTCACAGATAAAGCTGTGGTGCGTGTGACTGTCGTATAAGTGTCTTCCAGCGGCACTCAACCCAAAATTGATCGTGCTTATACCAACGGTCTGTCGGATGGGAGGTAACTTGGATGAGGTGGATGGATTGAGAGATAAGGGCTAGATACGTCGTCAGTCGATTTGCAAGCGGGTTTATATAATGAAGGGAAATCAACAGAACAAACGGAGACAAACATCAAGGAGGAGGTGCATCGACCCACGTGTAGAGTCGCGTTTTGGTATTCAATGCACCATAGTTGAACCAGCTCTTGCGCAGTTCTATCATGCCGGGCCTGGAATGAGACGGGATATTTAAGCGTGAAGAGATGCATATGATGAGAAACGGAATTAGAGAGATATTGGACTTCAAGCTAATGCCGCATCTCATCACAGCACCGTATACGCCATGCTCCAGACTGCAAGAACAGATAACAATGCCATTTTCCAGTGACCGAAATAAAGTTGGAGTCTAGCGTTAGGCAAGTTGGATCTACATTGATCCTACCATCCTCACGCCATAGTCCACTTCAGTCAGTGGATCACTTCAATAAAGAGGCCCTACGCGTGGTCCTCTCCGCTCAGTAAGTCAACCACGCTTCCAAACGGACGTACCTCGAAATCAAGTTCGAAGCCTTCGCACGTGATAATCCATCATATAAGTCGCCGCGCATCCAGGAAGTCGTTCAATGGCGTTGACAGGTGGTTTACTCCTTGCAGGCCTCGCACTCCTCGCCTATTTCCGCCTCACTCGTCCCCCATTCCCTCCAGGTCCAAATCCCCTCCCAATCATAGGCAACATCCTCGACCTCACTCCAAAAGAACTCTGGCTCACCGCATTCAAATGGGCGCACACATACGGACCCATAACACACATCCGCATATTCAACCAATCCCTCGTATTCCTCAACACACCAAAAGCCGTATTCGACCTCTTGGACAAACGCGGGTCTATTTATAGTGATAAACCGCACCTAGTCATGGCTGGTGAGCTTTGTGGCTGCGAAAATATGGCAGCCTTTACTCCTTATGGCGACCGTGCGAGAAGACAGAGGAAGCTCATGCAGAAGGCGTTTGGGCCCTGCTGTTATTCCTAGGTATCATGGCTTGATGCAGATGGAAAGCAGACCGTTTTTGTCTAGGTTGGTAAGTAGTCCTCTTCAGTTTCAAGACCATATCAGAAGGTCCGTCTCCTTTCCGGTCAACGACGTGATCTCATATATACATCAGATACGCAGGTGGACTCACCCTCCTCGTAGTATACGGTCACCAAGTAAAATCAAATGACGACCCCTTCCTAAACCTCGCAGAAGAATGCGTAGACATTCTTGCGAATCGTATCGCAAGCGGAGGTGGGATATGGCCAGTCGACGTCTTTCCAGCCCGTCAGTCTCTTTTCTTTTCTGTTGTTCAAACTCACCTTTTCCGTCCTAGTCAAACACCTCCCTACGTGGTTCCCCGGCGCTTCCTTCAAGTGCAACGCCAAAATCTGGAAAGCAAAAATGGAAGAATTCGTGGACCTCCCATACGAATTCGTGAAAAGCGAAATCGTGAGCTCGTCCTTCCTTCATCCTGTCAAAAAACTAAATCCCCAACAGAAAAAAGGAACAGCACGTCCCTCTTTCGTATCCACCCTCCTTGAACCTCCAAAACTCTCCTCCCCCTTTGACGCATCCTTCGACTCCACCACCACCGACGACAATGACGATGAGGCATCCTTCACATCCTCAAGCGACCGCGGCTCCTCCTTCTCATCCGACAACACAAAAGACACCGCTACAGACGACCATGATATTCGATGGACAGCTAATTCCATGTATTCAGGTATGTCACCCTCCGCACATTCACATTTACGTCACATTGACCATAACCAACGCAACCCTCACCACCCACACCCGGAAAACTCACTCACCGGGAATAACTCACCAAAAGCCAGCATCGACACAACCATTACAACACTCTCCCATTTCATCCTCGCAATGGTTCAGCACCCCCATGTGCTTCGACGCGCGCAAGCAGAACTCGATGATGTCCTTGGATCGGGGGAATCGGGCTTACCATCGAAAGCAAAGCGCCTACCCACATTCGAAGATCGCTCAAACCTTCCGTACTGCGATGCGGTGTTCACGGAAACGCTTAGATGGGGTGTGCCTGTCCCGCTTAGTGAGTCATTCTACGTTGGGTCGAGTTGGGGCTGATTAGTTTTTTTCTTTGCTCGCCTTTTCAATCGCTCGTCTTTTCAATCGCTCGTCTTTTCAATCGCTCGTCTTTTCAATCGCTCGTCTTTCCATTTACTCCGCCATCCATCACGTCGCTTACCCACAATGCCACCCCAGACCTCCCACATAGATTAACACAACCAGACACTTACGAAGGCATGTACATCCCACAAGGATCACTCGTATTCGGGAACATATGGGCTATCATGCGTGATCCCGCGTTATATCAAGATCCGGAAGTGTTTGAGCCTGGGAGGTGGTTGGCGCGTGATGCGATCGTGGATATGGAGGGTAGAAGGGATTTGGATGTGGGTGTGGAGGAGGAGGCTGGGAATGAAAGAGATCCCAGAGCGTTTGTGTTTGGATTTGGGAGACGGTGAGTGAATTTTTGGTTTTGATTTTTGATTTCGGGTGCCACGCGTGTGTTTGGGTATCATATCATCTCGGCATCTCGGCATCTTCTCATTCATTTCAAATTGTACACAACACTTCGCTACTCCTCACCATCACCGTTTCACTCTTATCATTCCATCTATCCTAGAACTAACATGCACCCGTAGCCGCTGCCCAGGAACACACCTCGTCGAATCTTCAGTATGGCTCTTAATCACCGGCATGCTCGCGACCCTTGATATCCGCAAAGCGAGGGATGAGAGGGGCGTGGAGATTGAGCCTGTTGTTAGGTTTGAGAATTCTGTTTTCAGGTGCGTAGTTCGATTTTTTTTTTGGGTGCGTTTTTGCTTCGTTTTTACTTGGGGCCTGCCTGTGTTTTGGGCTGTCGACTCAGCACGATTCGAGGATGCGCTTTTTGCGCGTTCATATATGGTTTCTACACCACGCGTTTTCGCCATACTACATTTCTTGCCTCTCCATTCCTCTTTCTCCCTCCCTCCTTCCTTTCACATACCGCGCCTCATCCCACCTCCATCCAGTATCCCTAAACGAGCGTTAACCATTCTCCCCATCCCACAGAACCCCAAGCCCGTTCATGTGTGATATACGTCCTAGGAGCGAGGAAGCGCTGAAGTTGATTATGGAGGGGGAGTAGCTTGGTGTGTGTGGTGGGTGCGCTGATTCCGGGTGCGCGGGCTTGGATGCTGATTGTGACCGTGCTGGAATCATGTACCGATTGTCGTGGACTGCGCGTGTTCTTGCTAGGGCCTGGAGCCTCGTGAGTGAAAGAGGATATAAGTATCATGTCATGTCATCATGAAGCTCGTATCGTTCGTGTTCGTGTATTGTAACTTACTTGGGTCGTTTTGAGCGAGGACTCAATAATGACAATAGAGAAATGCTACAAGTTTTGTGGTATTTCTCTTCTGTCATTATGTAGTCATAGGGAAACGCACGGGTACGGGTAACACCGCGGTTCTATGCTGACGGGTTTGGAGGGTACGGGTACGGAGTAGGATAGTCGTACCCTTGAGCATACCGTGGCCATTCACCGCGGGTTGACGGTGTTTGGGCGGGTATAATATACCAAATCGGGAACCAGGCGCGCGACAGCCATTGAACACCGTGTTTGATTCTCTGTTTTTCCTTCCTCTGAGAGCTTGAGGATCACAAGTGAATGCTATACTGATTTCTGTCATGTCTTTTGTACCCCCGTGAATCATTCTAGCACGAAGAGTTTATTGATAAATACGAGAAATCTGCCGAGATTACTGATGACATTGAAGCAGACACAGTCCGTATGCAACATTTAATTTTGCACTGACACTGACAACTATACAGAACGAGGATGACTTTGGTGACTACTCACTTGATTCCATGTCTCGTACTACTAGTAGCGAGTTGGATGAGTTTCTTCGATTACCAACTGTGAAAACCAAGGACCCACTCGCATGGTGGCAAAACAACTGCCGTGCCTATCCAATGCTGCATCGGATGGCACTCGACTATCTCTCTGTCCCAGGTATGTCTCCTTCGAATCCTCTTTCAATCAATCAATACTTATTATCTTGCTCAGCAACATCAACTGCGGTTGAACGTGTCTTCTCGCAGGGCCGGCAGCTCCTTCATTTTACTCGCAACCGACTCGCACCATCAACAATTCGTGCCTTTCTCTGCCTCGGAGCGTGGGGCAGAAGTGATCTTCTGGTGATGGAGGACCTTTTAGCCGCTGTCAGGACTCAAAAACGGAAGCGAAATGAAGTCGAAGCAGAGGAGAATGACAAGGAAAAGTAGTACTATTTTATTTCATTGTTGTTAATACTTAATACACTCTTCTTGGTAATGTACCCGCGGTGTTCAGAGACACCGCGGTGTTTTCCATAAACCGCGACATTGACGGGTCGGTGTGTACCCGTACCCGTGAAGGGTACGGTGTTGGCGGGTGCGGGTGCGGGTGCGGTGTCAACTTTCCGACCCTCGGTGTTACCCGTGCGGTACCCTATTCATCCATGCCGCGTCATGACCCCGGCAAACCTCACTCATGCGTCAATATTGCTCAGTGCCACGTCACGACCGCGTCAAATGACTTCAGCATCCCACTCATATTATTACTGGCCTTGCGCTCGGTCGAGTGTAAGGATTGTTCATCCTCTACGCACCGACCACGCTTCAAAACGAAGACGTTCGAAGACGTTCACGTGATTCATCAATGTGAACAGCGCTACTCTTCGCATCCGAGTCACCCGCACACATTCCTTTCCATTTTCTTACCTTGTGCTCAGACTCTACGATCCCCTTTCCTTGACCGTTCATTTCCACCTTTACCATGTGCTCCTCGTGCTCATTCTGGCCTAGTCAACTATTCGAAAACGTATATATACAGCTCATGTACACTCATACCTGGCAGCAGAATCTCCTGCGCTAATTCCCCGCTCCAAGCACGTCCGAACGCCTCAAAGAAAGTCTCCTCCTCTAACGCATTTCCCTACTCGTCCTCTCAAGTATTTATAATGCTTCTTGTATCTTCGTCGTTCTGTTCACTTTCCCCTTTGAACTCATACCCAGCCTTACATGAGTTATTATTCTGATAACTTGGTCACGTCTTGTGTCAAGTACCTATTGCACTACACTGATTTTTCACCGTATAATCTGTTCCAGTTATGTGCATTTGTTCAACTTGTTTTGTTGGGAACAATTCTTTCTGTCTATCGGCTTCCTCAATTGATTACTAACTTATATGCCAGGAGGAGCGGGCGAGTTGATTCTAAATGTGCTTGTGATAGCATCGCAATGTGCAAATGTCTTATCAAAAACCGAAGATTTAACTGATGCAGACTAAGGACTGTGCGCACGCACCGCTAAAATATATCAATAATATAATAGAAAGTCGGCAGTAAGCCTTCCGCAAATTCAGTAAGTCATCTGCCACACGAGGTAGCGCATATCCGCTGGCTCGGTCGTCATTGTGTCCACCACGTAAAGCTATATTGTTTTGCCGTGGGTCAGCCCTATTCCTGCCGGTGTAGGGTCGGTGTCATCCAATGGCAGTTTCTCTGTCTCCTCCAATCCACTTTTTTCGTTCTTGCAGCCGACCGAACGGGAGTCCTTGTAGGGTCAAAAGGAGGATAAATATGATTAAAAAATGCATCAGCTAACCAGGTCGCGACCAACACGCCTGAAAACCGCCACCATGGCCAAGGGAATTCAGGGGCAAGCATTCAAGCTCGAAGTGCTGAATGATAAATGGAGCGCCCTTCAAGTCAGGCGCACAAACACTCCGCACTTCTGCCCATCCAGCTCCCAAGTAAACGAGGGTAGCAAATCCGTGTCTGTTCTCACACAATGACCGGAGGGGATAAGTTTTGCCTAAAGTCTCGTCATGCAGATCGACCAACGAACCAAATTACTATCATGCCTGAAATTTGTCCCCACGGATAAGGGAAGCGTTCGAGCTAAAAGTGCTGGATAGCAAAGGGAGGAGCAGCATGCCTTGCGACCGTGGACAGGAGTTGGCATTAGCACAGCCTATTACGAATGACCGGAGCAGATAGCTTCTGCCTAAACTCTCATCGTGCAATATTATCCGCCATGCGTAACCATGCTGATAACCCGTATGCTGCACACAACACTACTAGTAAGCATTATCTTTCGCAATAGTATAAGAGCGACTCATCTTCCTCCACCTCAAAGACATTATTCAAGCTCTTCAGCAGATACACAAACAATGCAGTTCTCCTTCCTCGCCGTTATTGTTGCGTTGACAGCGTCTATGTCTGTCAGTGCATGTAGCCAATACAAAGGCCCTTGCAACGTCAACACTGACTGCTGCGCCAATAGAGGGTTGTCCTGCGCTCAAACTCAGGTAGAAATAGTTTGCTTTGTATCCAGGTTGCACTTAATGACTCGCCTTTTTCGCTGTGTAAAATCAGAAACTGGGCAAAGTCTGCCTTAATCATCCCCAGTGAGCAGGCCGATTTGCACGTTAGTAGCGACACATCGGTGAGTCATGTTTCCGCTTTCGTAATGCCAGTGATGTTGATCGAACAATCCGTAGGGCGCTGCTGATTGAAAAATGGCTAGAGGCGATATTGAGTTAAATCAGAATTCACGAGGGAGGCTCATTCGCATCGTGGTTTGGATCTAAGCGTGCGCCACTACCGTGGGAGTATTTAATTACTCACTCAATGCTACACCCAAGCACATCTTTTGTAAGAATTCTGAGATGTATCCGAGTCAATACTGGTACTAGTAGGTGGCCATAACTGAGACTCACCGTGGATCCCAGTGTTCGTGAGACCTCCGACTTTCGTTGAACCAGTTATCACGTGTTTTGTGCATCTATCGCGTCCGAATCTGCAACTTGCATAGTTGTCCATCATAGTATGGACCCTTTCACTCCACGAACGCGTCCAGGAGGCCGCAAGAAGAACCTTGGTTTGTCTGCAAAAGAGTACAGCAAGGTACGAGTCTCCCGGTTGCCCGTCATGTATATACTTATTATGACACAGCTCAAGGGAGATCGTTCTCGATCGTACTTTTTACAGATTAGTCCTTTCGAGACCTAACAGAACGGATGGTGCCCCTCGTCACTCACTACACTGCTATCTCCTCTTTTGTAGAGAGTCGCAGCCACCTCTATTTTAGGCTTGTCAATCTTGCGCTCTGCGCTGCTATCCGGGCATGCTCAAGGTCAATTCTCCCCGTGGCTCAGGCGTCGTCTTACTTACCCCTTGAAAGGACTACCAAACTCTCCTCTCTCAACTCGAACATGCATTCAATACCTTGCCGCAATTTGGTATACAGAAACTATGGTTCTATACCATGACCCTTATTTATCAGCTCATCCTCGAACTGCCTACCACCGATGACGGCGACGCCTCTGCTTCCTCCTCTGCTTCCTCATCTGATCCAGAGTAGGCAGCACGCGATGAAGCACTTAGGCCCGGTGGGGTGAAGCTGGATGCCGTTTTGCCTGACGTGAAGAAGAGCACATCAGATGCACCTATTAATGTGAAAGGTGGGGAAGCGCTGACGGTGATATACGAGCGCATGCAGACTATGTCAGGTGACACCACCGCGGTCAAGGTATACGGCACTCTTCAAACTGCAGCGGGTGGTGCCCTATGTCGAGATGCTCCGAGTATGCACAACTACGGGTCGTCTCGAAGACTCATACGAGGAGCTGTGTGTCAAGGAGAGCAAGTTCATCAGTGAGGTCATTTTGGAAGTGGATTACATGGACAAGTGTTGGTAGAGGCGATATACGGTGAGTTTTGTGTCTGAGATAATTGGGTGATGTGTACTGATGTCGGGATAGCTTCGTGATGGCTCGACCCTTTCTTCGAAGCCCCAGCATACAGGTGTTCCTCTTCCACGTACTGTTGTAGGTCGATTACCCGGTGGCGCTTGTATACCGCCCCTTCTGGAGGGTTGGAAACACAAGTTCTCACTTGCAGGGAGATATCTCAACGTGATATGTGAATGTGGAATCGGAGTGCAACTCGATCAGAAGGATAAAATTCACTGCCCATGGAAGACGAAAAGTGTGTTTCTTCATTGGCTTGAGTCCGCGTATCTTTTTTCATGGGCATTTTCGTGACTCGTGGAAGACGCATATACACACGTGAATCGCACTCTCTTACGTCTCCTGCTGCGAGATCAATGGCCTGTACCTCGGCTGCACTCTCTTAAGCGTTATTTCAGAGCTGAAAAAGCCCGCAAAATGTGTCAGTATTGTTAAGGTACAGAGTTTGCTCGACCTTGCGCTTGAGGGGAAGATGTCGTGTTCCGCGAAGATGTGCGAGCTAGCATCGTGAGCAGCGGATTGTACGAATAGCTACTCAAAGTCATCAGCTCAATTGGCGTGATCGGCGATGAGAAAAGCGATGGCGTGCCAGATGAAGAAGCAAAGAAGAATGACAAGAAGCATATGTTAGGTATGTGCGTGAAAGCTTTGAGCTGTCGTCCTTGCTCATCCCAGACAAGCAATTGATGCCCTTACACTCGACTATGACGTGAAATTCCCGCTTTCGCTCGTCATCTCTCGCAAAACGTTTTTGCGTTACCAGCTCTTCTTCTGTTTTCTCTTACATCTCAAGCATGTAGAACAGTCGCTCGCATTGATGTGGATAGAACAGAAGATAAGTCCCTGGCGGCGTCCTGTACCAGACCACGCCGAGTTGCGCTTTTGAGAGCTCGCATGCTCTCGTTCGTTCAGAAAATACTGGCTTTCACGACATCCGAGGTTCTTGAACCTAACTGGCGGGCGCTAGAGGCGAAATTAGAAGTGTGCGACCTCGGACCCAAACACCCACTGATTGTCGCACCTTTAGGCCTATTCCCGCATGATAGTGACGTGCTCTACATTCGCACTGTATACCTCGTCCTTCACCAAGTCCGCCAATCAAGCGCTCGCAGCAGCAGAGTGACGACGGCGACCAGGCAATGAACAAACGCTGGGAATTCCTGAAGAAGTTTGAGTCTAACTAATTATTTAAAAAAAACATATTTTATTGTCCTTTGGGGTCGAAGACCCTATGTCGGACATAGCCCTTTTCGCGGGGGGCTTACTCCCGCTTATCTATCGTATGTGAGTCTAAATTTAACCACTGCTGAGGGCCACATCGTCTGCGTGCGGGATTTAGAAAGTGAGATTCTGATGCTGCTTGTCTCTAGGTTTAAAGTAATGTTGTTTCATTCACGCGGTTATCGTATTCCCGGCTGACAATTATTTTGTACAAGTTTCATCTGGACTGTGTTGCAGTACTACGCGCCGAGTGAGAATGTGTCGCTGCTTCCTCTTGCAGTGCGGTTGAGTAGCATCAAGGCGATGTCATAGCATCAGCTGCATCGATGAGCGGTAGGGGTCCTGGTGAGTGACAGAGGACAACGCCTAAAAATTCGATTAGGTTTATTGCTTTCTCAGGTCTGTCGTTCTTCTAGTCATGCGCGATATGTGTTGCTACATACTATCACTTAGGATGTGATGCACACGTAGTGTCCCGTAGTAAGATCATTTCAAAAGAAGATGGTTGTTCCTTGATAATATGCTTCGGATGAGAGCAGCTAGCACTGCAGGCTACAATTGACATGTCATCTCTCTCATTTTGAACAGGAACTGAGAGCACTTAAGGTGATAACACACGAGTTGGAGATTGCAATACGCAATATCATCAGATGGTAGCTTAGTGGCAAGAGCGCTGGGTCTATGGGTCTACAGTTAAACTCACAAAGAGTGAGACGATTGGGATTGTATTGAGTAGATTGGCACGCAACATGTCAGAAACAATCAGATAAGGGAATGAAGATGGATGTACAGGGAAGTAACTTGTAGGTAAGGTTGCGGCGATGCCAGACCTGTACGATGGATGACTCTCACGAAAAACTAAGATATACAGACTTGCGTAGAACCCGGCATCAAGTTCAGTACTCAATGAAATAATAGTCTTTGTCCTAGACGTCAAGTCCCTCCGAGTCGCGCTTCCCCTCATCTCTCTTCCTGTATTCCCCGAAGGCATACTAGGCATTGTCAACGGCGTCAAGTCCCTCCGAGTCGCGCTTGTCGTATTCCCCAAAGGCATAGGCATCGTCGATGGCGTCAAGGTCGCGCTTGTCGTATTCCCCGAAGGCATAGGCATCGTCAATGGCGTCAAGGTCGCGCTTCTCGACATCTAACAGCAAGTCACGCTTGTCAACTTCCGCATGGTAAGAGTTATGAATACTCACTGGAACGTTTCGCGATGCCAGTGGTTCCTTCTGTGGGGTACGCTGTGGCAAGAACCACGATGGATGCGAGCACGCCGAAGACAAGAGAAAGCTTCATGCTTGAGTTAAGAGGTGCGACTGGTACTTGTCAATGCATTACATTGGAATCCTCAAGATCACTTTATACCTTTTCGTTACGAGGTCATGACTCTGAAAGGTCACCTGAAGCCTTATCATACACCCAGAACTTTTGCAAGGGATTGTTCTAAGTAGACGGCCGCGGTAAGATTCAGCCGTCAGTCTCATTGAAAAATCACTTAGCGCCCACATTAATCCTAACGGGGCAAGATTATCCAGCCTGAGTTCTCATTTCCGCATGGGTTCAATGCATGAGCAGGTCCTGTGAAGCGTGAAGGTATGTAAGAGGCACAACGCTGGCACATCAGAGAGATATCATTATACATACATAGAACAGGTTTGGAACCAGTTTTCGATAAGCATCGGAAAACATGAACGTAATTCGAACCCGAACCGCCGCAGTCGGGAATGCCGCAACACCATTGGCTGCCAAAAATACACATCAAAGTCAGATGATCGTGTCTATTAATATTCTTGCCGATCCCTGCTATATTAGGACGAGTCGATAACAAGCTTCATGAAAAACATACCTAGTGAGCCTGATTTTTGACTGTACGGTACCCATGAGGTAGTGATCTCGATCCGTACCGTCAAATTCACTAGTATCAACCGAGTTTTCTGGAGTCCTTTCCACGCATCGGCCCACGTTTTCAGGGCTGAACAAAGTCGGCCTCGACTAACGTCACGGTGACACGTCAGGTGGTGGCGGCCATGCACCTCACTCTTCCCGGTCGTTATCGGTACCATCAATGATTGACACTTCACTCTTGCCGTGGGCATATCACATCAAGTTCGGTTCGGTTCCAGGATCCAGTTTCTGATTGCAGGGGGTACATCCTCTGAAAAACGCGGAGAATTGTACCTTAATTACCGCTCTTACTGGAATGGGGAACTCGATACGAAGCATGTGGAGGAGCAGCTTCGAAGAATTTTCATTCCGACCGCCTTGGGCATAAGGGAAATCTGTCAAGGTCAGCTCCATGATTGATCACGGTGACTCGAAACTACTACCGGTGTCCGTGGAAGTAAATTGTAGCCGTGTCAATCCTGATACTAATTAAACTGCCATTAGTGTCCTTTGTGGCTTAGCTATTAGACATCTCAGAATCGAGGCGCGACTCTAACAGCAACACTTGGGACCTCGACTCGGACGCTGAAAGAAGTGCTGATGAACAACCGGCACTAGAAAATACCTGAAATAATTGACCAGCACGACGTTAGAGAACAAGACCCATGTATGACTCGCAAGCAAGCCAGAACAAACATCATATTCCGTGACCAAAATATTCGGTGGTTCCTGCTTGGTTTTAGATTCGTGCTTGAAACTTTCGGAACCATCGAGGCACTTAGGAACCTGATTTTACATGAACATATACAGTGACTCAAAAAGGTAATGCACAGCACGTGCAAATTATATAATCTTCGCCGCTCTCGTCCTCCTGCAGGGATTGCGTCAAGAAAGTATGCTCTATAGAGAGCCATAGGTCCGTAGTAACTAGTCGTATGAAGAAGAATTTATGTACTGCAATATATGAGCTGTAAAAGAGTGATTAAAATGAAGAGTACGGTGCAATTCTTTTTTGGATGTGGTAGGGCTAGGAAAAGAATGGATGTAGTGAGTGCAAATCAAAAGATAATGCCACGAAACTTTCTAATACTTAGTATGTCTTCCTTTAGCATCAAGAAGGGCCTTAACATGCTCTGGCATGCTCTCATATAACTTTGTGATGTACTCCTCCTCAACACGACCCCATTCCTCCACTAAAGCCTCCCATAACTCAGCGCAGTTCCGTGGCAGCGGTGTGCGAGTGCGGATGCGACAATCCAAATAGTCCCAAACGTGCTCAATAATGCTCATATCCGGACTATTTGGGGGCCAGTCCAGTGTATCGACCTTTTTTTTTCCGGAACCATTCTTGTGCAAGTTTCGAAGTGTGCTTGGGATCGTTGTCCTGTTGGAAATAAATGTTCGTTTTGTTGATTTCGAGGTCGCTAAGGGTCCCGAGGAATTCATCCTTGAGAATTTCGACATATAAGGCCGCATCCATATTGCCATCAATGCGGGAAATTCGGCCTAAACCTTCAGCAGCGATGCACCCCCAAACCACGACTCGTCCACCACCATGTTTCACCACCTTTTTTGTATACCGGTGATCAAATTCATCCTCTGGCCTCCTCCAACACCATGAACGACCATCCGATCCAAAAAGATTAAATTTAGACTCGTCCAAGAAGATAACAGCCTTCCAGTTATCTGCTGACCAATCAGCATGGGCTTTGGCCCACTCTAACCGCCTCGCCTTGTGAGCTGCCGTCAAAAGGGGTTTTGTATGGTGAATGTAAGCATTTAAGCCACATGTTTTAAGTCTTGTCCGGATTGTTTGGGCATTGATCTCAGGGGAAATATTTCCTTTGTAGATCAGCAACGTCATGTGCCTCAGTGCGTGCCAAAGCATGGACTGCCATACGAACATCATGTGGCGTGAACTTGCGAGGTCAGCCTGATTTTGCCTTGATATCATAGTAATCTTCAGTTTGAGTGTATCGCTTGATGATACGGAGCACAGTAGTGCGATGTAGGCCAAACTTTTCAGCAATGTCTGCTTCATGTAGACCCGCTGCTTTATCACGACAAATTCGAGCCTTTGTTGTAGGAGTGGAATATCCTGGCATGGATGGCTAGCAGGCAGGAGGTCTTTCAATAGATATATGAGTGTTACGGGGGTGTTTGTGGTGAAGAAAATTGTGGTGGGGGCACACTTTCGTAATGCACACTGTGTCAAAATATAAAATGCACAGCATTGTCCTTACAAAAGTCCGTGTAGTCAATTCAAATATTCATATTATTTTGAAAATTTACATCTCGCCAATAGCCAAGACACGAATCATGATATTGAAATACTCAGAACAGTGATTAATATAATGTTGTTGAAGTACGAGGACGAAAGGTGGTAATTCATGTTTTGTGCATTACCTTTTTGAGTCACTGTATAGACAACCATTATTCATTCATTCCCATGTTATTGATGTACTAACAATACATTAATTCGACTGCCAAGCTTTGAATCATTTCCGTTCTTGCAAGATACTCGTGAATGTATGTGATAGTGAGCAAGCAGCACGAGATTCCTTACACACCAAGGCTCCCCGGATAGAAGGGTAAGGGGAGCTCAATCGTATCGTCGAGGCGAGTAACCTCAGATGAATCGATATGAACAGCGTGCTTGTCAGCCCAGTCCAAGATTTTCTCGTAGTTCCTGCATTGGTGACGGTTGTTGAAATTAGGGTACGGGATATTGTGTCCCTGAACCCAGTCCCATGTTATCATCGTCACGTCGGCATTGCACATGATATTCTGTCTGATCATTTCAATGCAATGGTCTGTAATGCATACGATAAGTAAGAGGTGCATCAATGAAAAAGCACATGTACCAAGATGCATGCGGACTACTTCGGGCTCGTCCTGGAACGAAATATCTGTGTGCCTGTAATACTCGGGCCACGAGGCTTTGCGAAGTAAATTCTACAAAACGTGAGGCAAGAACGACTAGACTTTCGGTGTAGTATAGCTTACCAGACAATGGAGTTGGTGAGGGGCTTCCATAGATACCATAAAATCTCCATCCAATTTAGCTGGATACTTGACCTTGGAAGGTGAATCTACGTCGCCGGCTTTGAGAATTTCCTCAAGCGACATTCGAGTCGGTAGCACTAAGGTTTCATGGGTGTGAACAATTACTAAGTACGATGACGGAAAAAATTGGACGACACACCATCGCCAGCTATCCTGTCCCAAGCGGCATCAAGTTCGGGAGAAGGAGAGCCACGATAGATAGAAGGAAAGTCGAGGGATCCGTTAAACCTTAAAATCACGGGCTCGACAGCAACAATTGCTGGAGCTGTAATGGATTAATAACTGTAGCGTTTGATGTGGTCTGTCCACTCACAGTATACAGGAATGTCGTCACGCAGGTGGGGCGAAGGCGTGCCCATCCACAGTGCGAAAAAGAGCAGCGACGTGCATATCAACGCGCCATGGCTCAACATAGGCCGCATGCGAAGGATATGCGACTTGGGACGAGCATCATCAAATGACTTCTCCTCATCATCACTGTCAAAGGTATTGACACAAAGGTACTGTGAAGAATCCTTGATCATGACTCTCGGAGAACTCTGTTCGCTGAATACGGGGGTTGTAAGGATAGTTGGGAACACGCGAGGGTAGATGCGATACGTACCCCGAGAAGTGTATAAGGATGACACTGAGTCATGAGGCCTAGATTCGACCAGCGTCGCGAATCGATTCAATTCGGTTAAACAAGTTTAACCCCGGATTAATTGCGATCATTGTATATACCGGAAATTTGGAAAGTATCGTCCGTCCCGTCCCACCCGGAGACGGGCCGGACGGGTGGGACAGAACTTTCTAACTTTCTGGTTCCCTCGGATCATTGAGCCTCGATATCGGATACGCAGCCTCCCCAATCATTTTACTTAAAATAGTTCTCATCATTACTTCATCGGGCACTGCAGCTGCTGAAGCGCTCAAATGGTTCCATCAGAAAGCCACTCTAGGTCCTGGCTTCCAACTTGCTCACGAGTACGGCTCGTACTTATTCCAAGTGCATCCCGAGTGTCTTGAAACCCTACTAACTTCAAGTCTTTTTCTTGCCCCAGCTAGTCTAATACCTATGCGGAAGGAATATTTTGCATCGTATTCTCGAGTCGACGACCGTGATGATACGAACCTTCTTGATAGCAATACAGTAACAAGACCTCCTCCAGAATCCCGTCTCCTTCGCTGGTGGCCATGGCTAAGCCATGGGGTGCTGATGTTCATAACATTGGTGTTTTTCGTGCTATGGGTGCGGGCACCGTCGATCGATGACGTAGTTCTGTACTGTACGTGGACGGATAACACCAACGCATAGGACCTTGCTTACTCGTCACAGCTCCAGCGAACGAGGCGATTGAATACGTCGGCATTATAAGATTCAATGGAACTCTGGGCACTCCTTCTATATATCGTGGCCCACCGTCTCCAGAAGTCAACGCGGCTTGGGATAGGATATCTCTTAATGGTTGTACCCTATGCTTCACTTACATCATGGTCATTTATTGACTACCATCTCTCACAGCGCGTCCAATTCGTATGACGCTTGAACAACTTCTCAGAACAGGGGAGAAACCTTCTCCCTCCATGGCTGGGTATCCGGATGAACACGGTGGAGGTTACATGGCGAGTGTAGAAGTCATTCACCAGCTCCATTGCGTAGTAAGCTGTAATCCAGGGAGGCTGGTCTATTTATACTCACTTCCCTGTAGGACATGATTCGCAGAGCCAGCTGGGGTGAAAAAGATATTTCCACAAGTCATGAATTCCTCCCCGAAGTCTTCGGGCGCATTCATCTCGGTAGGTATAGTGTTTCCTGCCCAGCCCACATACTGCTTACTAGTATGTTGTACCTCAGACCATTGTATCGAAATGCTCAGGCAGAACCTTATGTGTCGTGGCGACGTGACAATGCTTACTTACGACTGGGTGAAGGGAGTCAAGGTGCCTCTTCCTAACTTCAACACTCCTCACCGATGCAGAAACTTTGAGAAAATCTTGAATTGGGTTGATGAGCATAGTCCTAAATCCAGGGTGGTCCGCTTGGAGCATAACGTGGACCTGACTTCCCCTCCTTTATTGCAGTCTCTATTTTCTCCCAATAACGGCTCTCGCATAAATCACGATATGACGAGTCTACCTAGGCTACGAGTGTTCTTGAACTTGTTGTAAAGTCGAATGGAAATCCTATCTCTGTTGAATAAATCAATAATGTCATTTGCAAAACAGATGCCACCTGAACGGAGTACAGTATGAAAACCTGTGGCATATATTATTATCCGGCCCGACTTTCTCATCCGGATCTTGTGTGTTTTAACTTTTAAAGACTCGACCCGAGAACCACGGCCGCTTTCGATGACTGACTTTCCAATCACACTCGTCCTTGGTGGAGAATATGCCTTCTTCATATCTTCGCTGTGTGTGAGTGTCCGAGTTCCCTCTCGAGCCGCCATTGCTACACGGTTATACTGATGAGGTGAGTAAATTGGTATGATACTCACAGGCGTTCATAAACTATTCCAGGTCTGCTCTTTTCTATCCCTCAATGGCGTGCACATACACAGTGCATCCAGGCACTGTCGCAGCCACATTTAGATGGAACTGCTTGCTATTCACTCATCCATGTGGCAGCCTTTCAGTGAATCATGGAGCGTTGCTCGTATAATGTGTAAATAGAACGGCCTGTTAATCATTAGGTTCGAACTCGACCGAGTCTTGCTTGCACTTCCGATTTCAACTGCGATTGATGAAGACTCTGGCAAGTTATCATACTCTATCGCAGCGATGTAATGAAACTACAAATTTATATGTGGAATATACTTGGTCCAAGCTACTGTATCGTATGCGCCAGCAGGAAGTGATCGTAAGCTCAAGAACATAAGTACAATTATTGTAACACGTGAAAAAATGTAAAGACACATGCCGAGGATGAAGAGGAAGGCAAAAATTGGTGCCAAAATAGCTTGAATGTTTTGTAGACGGGATGGGACTTCGTCCGATATCAATATGTGGTACTCCAATGATAGTCTGTCCCACAAAATCATCATAGTACCGATGAAAAAAAGAAATAGCGGTGAACATGCCATCCCAGAGGAAGCCACACGCCATAACGTCTGCTCTGTGTGTCTCGGAAACACGAAATTCCAGCCCAGACAATGTATCAGTCCAAACACCATTCCACTAACACATGTGGTGATAGATAAGATCGCAGTCAATCCAGAGGCTGTAGAGCCAGAGTCTATAGGCTGACCGGGGCCAACTAGAAGCTGTTTCAGCGATTGGTGTTCATGTGAACTTGAATGCAAGCAAATCAGAACAAGTTCTGCCAGGAATATTGATGACATACTAGTACTTGTTGGCTAAGCTGTCACCAGGTGGAGGAGCGGTTGCCTCCGAGTCCCAATGAACAATATAAGGACGTCCTATGTCCTTAGGCTTATTCAACCAAAAGCCATAGGAAATGCAGGCCAAAGCAGCTATACCCAGGGTATCGAGTTCAAGCAATGTTACGGGGAGGTTTTGGGCGTAACGAGCGATGAGCTGGATGACAAACCACACCAGCTGAAGAATGGCGATGCATTTCGATAGCATATCACCCTTGCTTCGATCTTCTATGTCCGCCTCCGTGATGTCAGGCATCTTCACAGATCCCTCACGAACAAACCGCAGGAGCTCATTGGGTGTAAGAGTGGCCCGTGGCTCACCATCGACGTAGAGCACGAATCCACCCATACATGCGAAGAAGCCGTGCGTCAGTGTCCACCCTGTGAAGGCATCGGCTTTACGTTAGTTTCTGCCTGACTGAAGAGCCTGAGTATGCAACTGACCATCGCTTAAACTTCTGCTTTTGCCACGTAACATAACTACCAGCTTCTGCGGTATGGCTCGGCAGTAGCTGCGGGGCTGGGCTCGTTGCACACCAAAGGCATCACCGAATTTCTTTGCAGCATGACGAGCACTCAAAAACTCCAATGTGGCGAAGGCGACCACGACTTCAGGGGCGGACACCGCCATAACCATGAGGCATAAACGACGAACGGTAACTAGAATGACCCAATCGTCAACACCCGGAATGTTCGGATGTATGGCAGTCCATGTGCACGCAAACATAGTTAAGCCACAGCTCGAGAGAATGTCCCACAAGGACCTAGTGTTGCAGGATGGAGAGTCGATGGCATCGAGTGCAAGGATATGGGTATCGTTGAGACCTGGCAGTGAGGCGCGAACAAATGGAACGCAGAAGAGGACAGTGCAAAGTAAGAGGATCATCGTGAAGTTGAGGGCATATGCATCTGTTCATTCTGCTCCCTTTTGATGGATGCAGCCGCGGGTATCAATCCATGCATGATTGGGTGACTTCCTGTAAGGTATTACAGATGAAAGACGACAACTTGACGTCGGCTATTTTACAGACAAATATCTGTAAACCGTAAGATATAGAACATGATTTTTTCCTTAATCTGGGCTCTCAGGCTGTCATGGATATCGAAGCTCTAATGCAGTATGCTTTTGCTGATGTAGTTCCAGCGTCTCATGACTCAGTCATGGCGTCTCATGACTGAGTCATGAGACGCTGGAACTACAAGCGGCCCTCGTTAGTGTTCTCATTCTCGGTGCTGAAGAGGCCTGTCTTATGAAAAATCGTGTTCGCAACCTATCGCGGCTGTATCTGTGCCGTCCTCCACTTCTTCCACCGAAGTTGAATCCCCATTAATGATCGACATATGTATGAGTGTCCATCTACGTACAGGCCCTGAAGTGCTGCATTCACTTCTCACCATATTTACAGTGCTTGTCCGATCCGTGTTCGTACTAGTACACAGCCTAACACAGGAAATTGGAATAGTGTGCATCTTCTGTTTGTCTTGTATTGCCTCCGATAATCATTGATCTAACGTTGGTTTTCAGACGCAGTGTGAAGTGTTATCTCACTGTGTCGAGCCTTCACCCCACCTTGTCAAGTCTGATGCAGCCCCTGCACTCTGGAGTCTCTGCCACTACTACCATGTCAAGACTCATTCAGGCTGGGCCACGACAAGCTCTCCACAACATCTGCCCTTTATCCAACTTGTTCGATGCCCTCTCGTTGCCCAATTTGCGCGTGCTGGAAGCTTACTCCAGTTTCAGAACTTACGGAGTGTAACGACCCCATGAGCTGTTGGAGGCATTTTTTGCACGGTCAAAGTGACCCCTGGAGCAACTGGTTTTAGTGGTTGTGTGATGATGACAGACGTGGAGCGAGCGGAATACATTGCCCTCATTTCCTTCCTCGACGTAGTAGTCGATCTCAGACTGTTTCAAGGCTTATACTGTGACAACGCGATTGATTGTGTATTATTCATGCACATGCATCTCACGAGAAACTCCAATCATGAATTCATTCATCGAGCCGAAACATCCTAGAGAAACCAGACTAGTTGTGGAATTGTCTTTAGTTTGTCGCCACAAATTACTAACAAACGCCTTGAAATCTGCCTTGCGACCATCAACCGTCGGGCTTTGTTCTTGACACTATTTGAATTGAGGGAAAAGCGCAAAGATCTACACAGCACGTTACGACTATCTTCGTATTGCTAGACCAACCTGAGGGTAAGCACCTCAACAGCAGGCCTGCACTTCCGTTTTTCTAACTGCACAAGCAAACGAGTGAAGTAGGTGCGTACTTCTGTTTTCCACCTACAGAAGTAAATGAGTTGAAGTAAAGTCTGTTCATTGACATGAGAGTAACTGTGGGATTACGTTGCCGTGGGCCCTACTTTCAAATAAAGTTGTAATATGCGACCCCGTAAAAGTTCTGCTGGCAGTGGGCGGGAGTCGATAGCTGAGCTTCTCACGAGATGACTGGAGGGGATCACTTCTGCCTAAACTATTCTGCCAAACAGAATTCTGGGTAAGTATAAGAGCAATCCATCTTCCTACCTACCGTCCACGTCACCCCAAAGAGGTTTTTCGAGCACCTCAGCGGTTCATACCACCTCGCACAAATAATGCGTTTCTCCTTCCTCGCCCTTATTGTTGCGCTGACAACATCTATAACGTTTGTCAGTGCGTGTGCGCCAGTGGAAGCGCCTTGTCTACATGACGGTGACTGCTGCGATAAAGAGGATAAATGCGTTCAAACTGTAAGTAGGGGTAGTTTGCTTTGCATCAAATTTTCACTTGATGACTCACCCTTTGGGCCTTGTAATATCAGGCGGATGGTGCTCAAATGTGCTATCATAAAGGCGATTAGCCCCAAAGAGGAGGCCGTTAAATTTGCACGTAGCAACACACTGCTGGGTCATGTTTCCGCTTTCCCATTGGTATGGTTGTTGACGGAATAATATGCAGGTCGCTGCTGATTGAGAAATGAATAGAGGAAATGCCGCAAAGTGAATGAAGTATTTGCGCACTTGTTGGTTTTGGTGTAAATGGAACCCAGGCTTGTAATCCGAAATAGTTTGACCACATGACCAGCACACCATCTTCGATCCAGCTACAAACATGAAAGACTGGAATAAAGACAATCAATGGTTACAAGACCATCGTCTTGTAAGGCTGGCAATAATTGTCCTGCATAGAGTACATCTCTCAACGGACATAAATTGGACAAAAAAAAGGCTGGCAATGGGTTCGACAATCGATACAAATAGGCAGAGTAAACACGTTTGAACGCACTGAGTTGTAATTGCGACGTGAGACGACAACTTTCTGAGGATATCAGACTTGATTGGAGCGGGGAAAAGATCGTGATATTGAATCCGAGGGTACATGGCCGGACTATATACATCTGTGAGTGGCTCAATGGCCAAACTGAGGATGGACACCTGATGATGGGGGTTCAATTGGATGCATCATTATGCCTAAAATGTTATCTTTACCAGTGAGTCATCCATGCAGTCTCGATGTGCTCCGATTACAGATGATTCCCAGTCCGTGGCGTTCAGAATGGCTTATGTCGAAATATTGGTAACCATTCTATGGTAAGTTGGTAACTGGTGAGCGTTAGCCTGGGACGGCGCAGCCAAGTACAGTCACTGATCTCGCGTTTACTGTAGAAATGGAAGTCAATATATTGGTTTGTGTCATCCACTTTGAAATATGGAAATGAGACATACATGTTCTGGCTCCTCTATCACCATAGAAGAGAACATGCTACACACTAACATATACATGTAGTTCCATGCACTACACAGCAGATGGTTGCTGATGCTCTTGGGACCCTCGCACGTGCGCGTCTCCATCGGACATGTTCTTGAGGCTCCTGAAAAGTACATGCATATATTATGGGCGCATCGTGTTCATAGGCCATTTTTTTCGTTGAGTACATGTACGTATGTCCCTGTAGTGTATTTTCGACGTATCAGACTCCAGAGGGTGCGGTGAAGTCGTTTACTTGTGATCGGTTTGAATTTTGCTGTCGTTGCTGTGCTGCTAGGTCGAAGGCTGAAACGTACTCGCACCTGCATCGACAATATTAGACACGCATCAAAATTGATAAACCAAACGAGCGCAGTGACTATATATATATCGCATTGACATGATATTTGTGGACCATGGCTACTATCGAACTTCCGAAGCTTGGCTGTGGGAAAAGACCTGGTTCAGCCTGGTTCCCCAAAGCGGGCTCAATTGCCCACCGCCATTATGCACATTACTTATATATATATAACACGTCGACTGCAGTCGTGCAGCGCACGCTCAAACAAAAGGTTCCCAGACCAGACCTACTACGTCGTACACGGTAAGTGAGCCTCCTCCTCCCTACCCACTACCTAACCTCAATTCCATCTAAGATGTCAACAGAATCACCCACCGCGCCTAACGATTTCTCAACGGAAACCCTCATCCGCTCCTTCATGACAATCATCCTCTCCGAAATTGGGGACAAAACCTTCTTCATCTCTGCCATTCTCGCCATGCGCCATTCTCGCCTCGTCGTCTTCCTGGGCGCTATTGCTTCCCTTGTGTTTATGTCTATGCTGTCAGCGTCGCTGGGTCATATACTACCCACGCTTTTACCCAAGAAATGGACTCAGATCATGGCTGGGGTGCTGTTTTTGGTGTTTGGGAGTAAGATGGTGATGGAGGCAAGGGAGATGGGGGGAAAGGGGAGGGAAAAGGTTGAGGAAGAGATGAGAGAAGCGGAAGAGGAGATAGATGGGGACAGATTTGATGCGGGGGATCGTATTCCGCTTCAACGACTCGAGGAGGGGGAAGCAGTCCCTTCATTCCCCGATGCGCGAAAACAGAAAAAATTGGGTTGGGGTATCGCGGAAGGCGCGAGGAATTTTTGCAGTCTTATCCTTGGGCCTGTTTTCGTGCAGTCCTTTGTGCTTACTTTCCTTGGGGAGTGGGGGGATAGGAGTCAGATTGCTACGATTGTTTTAGGTGCTGCTCATGTGAGCTCTATTTTTTTCTTTCTTAGTTCGAGGACCTGTGTTGACGAGGCGCGTTTTTAGAATGTGTATCTTGTGGCACTAGGGACGGTCCTTGGCCATGCATGTTGTACAGCGCTAGCTGTCGTAGGAGGGCGGTATGTATCGAGTAAGATATCGGTCAAGCATGGTGAGTCATTTATTTGCACCTGATTATTGTCCTTTGCCTCGGAATACTATCATACCCTCATGCGTTTATTCGACGCTCGTCGTCTATCATTACTCCCTATTGCGCATGCCAATCCTGCTGTGCTTGCTGCATCTAACCTGCCGCCTTGTTTCATTTGTTCCGAATTTCTTGTTTGTCGTCCATTTAGAAGCATCGCAGCTGACCCAGCATTGCAGTGACCCTAGGAGGCGCAGTTCTTTTCCTCATATTCGGCGTCATCTATCTCTACGACGCGCTTGCTACTTCTGCAGAAGAATTCTTGATACCCACTAACCCTGCAGGGGAGCCGTGAGCCAATGCATATCTATGTTTGGGCTGTGCCAACGCGCGTACACGTATCTTACCAGGACTCGTCCTGCCGCTCCTTATCACGCTCCTTCGCAAGCCCTATCATGTCTATACTTTCCATTTGGGCGGACAAGTACCATCATTGCTGCCCTTCGCTTCCCTCCGTAAAGTTATGTACACCTTACATCCTTCCATGTCTCCTTCCACTCATATCCTTCCGTATAAGAAATGAACCGAAAGTTAAGTAGAACTTCTTCCCTCTCAAGCATCGAAAGTGATTGGACAGTTTGTACTACATTGGGCCTGGTTGTGGGCGTTATCTGTTGGCCAGTTCATGCTTAGCAACCTTCCACCCAAATTGATATCCCTCTCCCCCTTCGCTTGCTTTCGATGCGGTCATTTCATCTGAACGAGGCGAAGAAGAGGTCGAGTTGGGAGACACGGCATCTTCGACCCGAATGTGGTTCCCTCATCCAAGACTGCGAGAAATCGGAAAAGGCGTCGTGCGAGGCGCAAGGATATTTTGCATGCAGTCAGTCTTGTATTGGGTCCATTTAATTTGGTCGTTAGCGCTTACTTTTACTGCTGCTCATGTGAGCGTTTTACAGGTTTCACTTAGCATATTAAATTCGTTGACCACTGCATGCTGGCTGTGGTGGGAGGCCGTTGTATGTTGACTAAACTTAAATAAGTGTGGTGAGCCATGTTTTTTCTGCCCACTTACTGTCCTTTTACCTCGAAATAATATCCGACTTGTGCGCTCATTCCACGCCATGACCTATTAATATTATTACTCGCCGTTCTCGCTGTGCTCGCCATATTCCACCTGCCGTCTGGCGCTCTCGCAGCCTATTTGTTAATTTCCCGTCCATCTATCAATCAAGAGGCCGAACTGACCTAGCGTTTGGAACTGCAGTGACCCTAGCAAGAGGCTGAGTTATTGTTCTCATGGAACATCATCCACCTCTGTGATTCGCTCGTCATCTCGGTACAAGAATTCTAGATACCTATCAGCCCAGGTGGCAAGTCATGATGCCTCGATGATTGGACGCGCCGATATATATTAGCTTGGTGCAGTGAGATGCAGTGATCGACACGTTAACGCCATTGGCCTTCATGGCCACCAAGCAATCGGCCCCGAGTGCCATCTATCAAGCTCGCACTTGAATGTGTGGCGCATTAGAATGCCAGCACAGATATATTTTACTTACGTGACCAGACACATTTGTGAGTTCTTAGTAGCTGTATTTTACTCGACACCCTATTCCATCCTGCATATACATGCATTGCCATGACGAAGATTCTACTGCACAGCATTGATAACAGGTACCTGTGCCTTGGCCGTGTCAGCTATAAATCTAGTAGAATGAAGCTCTTGTCATGTCACTCATGTATGAAAAGACAAAACTGTAATAATGGGACGGCGACGAACAATGCGTGGGCTGCCATGGAACAAAGGTAACAAAAGTAGCAACTGCGTATATGAATGACAATAGTATTGGAAGGAAAATGGCACGTTCAGTGGCCGCGATTGTTTTGTAGTAGGGCGCTTGCCAGTTTCACTTCCACTGGCAACACAGCAACCAAACAGCAACCGCCAACGTTAACTGAGACCTACTGCCACAGTGGGACCCGAACCGGTCTATGGATGGGCCAAATTGACGACCTTCTGTCGAAGACGCCCAAGAACAATCAGTGCCGGTTTGGCGGCAGTGCAAACCCACAGCTTTCCATAATGCGATAACAAGTTATTAGCGCCATCTTCTCCAATGGACACACTCTCTCGCCACAAGTCATTCCTATTAGCCAGTGCCGTTCTCTTACTTGCTTCCATTTTCACCCCACAAACAGACCATCCTACAGAGGACATTGTTCCTGTGGAACCGCATATAAATACAGAGGGAACGGTACGTCGTTTTTCGTACCCTTATCACTCCCTACCATTACCAATCGATTCAGAAGCTTATCATCTCCATTAGTTACCTACTACAACATCTCATTCAATGAATCCATCCTCCGGGAAGTCGAGCGCAGATTCCGAGGCGATAAACGTGGATGCAGGCACTCTTCCGCATGACACAAAGCTCGACCCCGAGTGCGTTCCAAACCTAACATCCTTGTTACTCTCTCACTCAAAAATATCCTCAGTTGTATATTCTGCAAGATCGTCAGAGGGGAAGCACCGAGTTTCAAAGTATACGAGACGAAACACAGGTACGCTGCCTATCAGTCAATCACCGTTCAATCACCAATGCCACACTTTAAAAGTCTCGCCTTTCTCGCGAAGCCTCCTGTTTCTCATGGGCATACTCTTATCATACCCAAATGTGTGTACCCATTCAATCTAGGCGAATTTGCGTTAAACAGTTGGGTCAGACCACTCCCGGACATTAACAGATCCCGGACTCCCGGATGAGTTCCTCGCGGACGTTGGTCCTATAATGAAGAAGATAGCAGTTATGAACGGCGAAGATTCATACAACATCATCCAGGTATGCCCCTCCCCGCTTGCAAGAGCTCCTGCTCTCTTCGTTCGCGCACTAAGTTAACACGATAATCAGAACAACGGCAGGACAGCCGGACAAAGCGTTGACCATGTACATTTCCACGTTGTGACGAAGCCAGTGAGCCAACCTGCTCAAGGACTCGTCCTAACACCCGAGAGTTGGCCTTCGTACCCTACGACCGATGAAGAATACGCTCACGACGCAGACCAAATGAGGCAGATCGGTAGGAATCACGGGTTCCCGGGCGTTTCGGCTTAGAATTTGGGGTTTGAAGTATGGTGCGATGTGCAGTTTCGACAATTGTATCGTGGCCAACGCCGAACTTGTATTGTTCGATGGGATGGAGATTTACGGAAGTAGTTTATTGAGGTTGTGGGTTTGTTGTCGTGCGAGGGGTGTTAAGGTAATCTTGTATGATTTTTCCCTTGGCTGTCTGCAGATATCCGTCGCAGTATACAATGAACCTAGGCAGCCAACACCCATGTATTCTTAATTTTCATTCTGAATCAGTCACTTTTTCTTGTAGTATACGATACCTAAAGGCCCCTAGTGGGTACATGGAGATGACATGAACGTGGAGTGCTCCGTGACAGTTTTGCCTTCATACATGGCTACACCGTAGATAACAAATCGAAAAGGTCAGATTGGTCTGAGTGCACTTACTACAGAAAAAAAGTTCGTAGATCATGGAACGCGAACAGTCAACGTTTCAAACTTCTGTCGCTCTCACAGACGTCGTCGGTGATGCCATCTCTCCTCCCGTCCACGTTGTGATGCCCCATCCCTACACCATCAATATGATACTGCTCGCCAACCAGCTCTTTAACAGCAACCATCAAACGATCGAGTCGAGTGATAATTCCAAAGGTGGTAGAAACGCCAACGCAGAATGTCCTGAACAAAACATGACAACCTCTCAAATGGAAAGGAGATGAGAGACTCACAGGTACTGCAAATTCTCCAACGTTTCCACAGTAAGCATCCGCGGCAATCCGTAATTGTCTTCTGACTCCTCATGCACCACGTTCAAGCCATGATGCCTGATCATGAACCTGTCAAGTAATGGGCATGGGGTAATTTGAGGCAAAGGTGAGCCTGTGCGCAGTGCATTGGAGATGAGACCTGGGAAGGAATGTAAGGTTACCACAGGTAAAAGCGATCAGAAAGCATACTGATAACAGCAAGTACATCGCCTTGGAAATCCGAATCAAGCATCCGCGTCCGGCGCAGGAAGGCATAAGCCCAAGCGGGTTCCAGGTGATGCACTATGGACCTCAAATGACACAGTTGATATGTGATTTGCCTGTTTTTGTTTAAAAACACAAGATCGTCGTAAGATATAGACACTCACATTTGAATCTCCAATATCTTGTGATATCTCTCAGCAGGCCATGTTCCGTGCAGCGAAAACTAGTGAATCAACGGATGTAAAGGTCTATATCTGGAATTGTCTTAGGGACATAGGGCGAAGGATCATATGAAAGGAAATATAATGGTCATTCTTGTCAGCACAGTGGAAAACGTACTTCAACGGAACTCGCCAACGTTTCGAGAATCGAAAGGCGAAGTTGAAATTGAGGAGAGCTTACTCAGCAACTATACTCGCACTTCGTACAAGTGCCGGGTTACATAATCCCGGCACCGGATGTGCAATTTCTTCTTTGGATCGTCCAACAACGTCGAGTTCGGCATAGCTCGCGCATCCTCACTATCGTTCTTTGCTCCCACCTACCACTCCCCTTTATTATACACCGTAGTCTCTCGTTTCGTTTTAATCTCATTATCCACGTGGTATACTTCTCAATGCCAATATATTGATTGCCCGGCCTGTCACTCAAGAGTCGAAGCACGCTCGAACTCGTAAGGAGGTTTTCCCGTCCTCCCAGCGGCTCCACCTGCTTGCGTCCCATCCCGAGCTAACGCTCGGACCAGCCCAACACCTTAGATCGTGTCACCGACTCTTTATAGCGCCAGACGAAGCTGGACCTTCAACAAGCCAGTATCGCCTCACAAGCATGTCTGAAGTCAATTTTAACGAGCGCTGCATACATTCTTCCGGTTGTAGCTTTAAGCTGCCTGCTTTGCTCCTCATTAATGCCAGTGCGCGATTATATCCAACGACGTTCAATAACCTCGACAGTCTCGAATGTAACCCACAAACAAGTCAAGGCCTTCGTTTGGTTTTCACAGTGGAGCCCTGGGGTTCGTGGAATATGAAATTGGTCTGGTCCGCTTGCCGCGAAGTTTCGTTATGAAGTCAACAGGTAGCTGGGTCAGATGCATCCCTGCAGAGTTGACGTCGTTGGCTTTCTTTCGTCGAGCTCGTAGTTTTGGGAGAGACATTTTTGTAATTATATTGAGATCTCTCGCTATTTGAACCTGAGCTCACACCAGGATATCTGCAAACTTCATCGTTATCGTGGGTAGACTTTACTGATTACTCCATGTTGCTTTGAATACGTACTAATAATAGACTGAGGTCTGTCTTGGTATTTCTCTGTATCCTGCAGGGAATAGTCGATGACTCTGCAATCTTCAGTTATATCTGGAAACGAGTCGGATCGCTGCAAGCTAGTCAACTCTCAAAGTACAGGTTGTATGCGAGCTATTACAACTTCAGTAGTGCAGACGGCAGCGTCTCGTGTTCAAACCAATGGCACTTCATTCTCACCTACAAAGCACCCAGCGGTCGCATTTGGCTCCGGAGCAACAGACTGGGAAATACAAATAGAAGTCAAAACTAGGTGTACATATAGGAGAGGATACAGTTTCAAAGTCTGAAATATGGAAAGTTATCTGCTTGGCAATAGGCTGCACGTAACCACGGCTGGATGCTACATGCAAAGTCGTTAGATTAATGCACTAATCAACAGGCTGGGAGTACATACAAAATCGATCATATGCCAATATGCATGAACACTATGCGCTGGTCCAAGGGCATGTCCTTGTGCCGAGCCAACGAGCTGACCGCTTGATGTAGCGCTCGGGCAGCTCGTTTGGAATTCATTGTGCCATCCCCGCAAAAGTTTTTGTAGAATGCCTCAACTAAGCCATCAGGAAAACCACCGGTTCCTTTTTTAACTTAATTTGTCACTTAATGACGTGAAAAGTGACATCAAGTCATTTGAGTGAAAAAGCGTGAACCACTTAATCAAGCCCACTCCATCTCTGAATTTTCGCTTATTTCACACTTAATTCACTTAAAAAACCAGATAAAGCGGCACAAGCCATTCATAAAAAAGGGGGCATACACGATAAGCGTAAAATTAAGGAGACTCTCTAATACAAAAGTCGAGAGCCAGCTGGGGGTACAGGAAAAATGGCGGACATGTGGGGGCAAAAATGGTGGTGAAAATGATGATAGTATGACAGCGGGATTCCACCGGCGGTGTAGTAGAAGAGACAACATCCTACAATGATGAATGTCAGTTGGATGAAACCGGAATGACAAGTACTTACAAAGCATAGCACGCTCATTGTCCTCTGACTCGTCGTCGTTAAGTGAGTCCTGCGGTGATTCGATGGCGTCGTTTAAGGCAGTACAAGCATGCGCCATCTGTACTGTGGTCTCTACATACCCAGCAGGCTTGCTCGAGATAGACTTGATGAAAGATGCAGTGACTTTGCCCCAGCGAGCCGCTGAAAACAAAAACGGGGCATTGGTCATCTTCCCGGTGACCTTGTTGAGGACTTTGGGTAGTTTGATGACGAGTTTACCTCTGCAACTGGTCGCCAATATATCCTTGACTTTCAAATTTTTGTTTGCGAACATTCCCAGGGCACGCTTGATCTAAAACAAGAATAAGTGCGAATTAAATTATTCTCAAATCAAACTTACTGCTGCAGCACAAAGGGCAATAACACCTGACATCCTGATGGCCCTTGTCGCAAGTGCGTGTGTGTCGAGGTCAGGAACGTCAACATACCCACTAATGGCATTAAGATGTGCTGTACCCAACAGCTGTAATACAAAAGGAGAACGGTACGTCGTGAGGGGGCTTGGCTTGTCAGGGTCCTTGAATAGGAATGCATAGTCTGCGAGAAGGTGGGCGGCAAGTTGAACAGAATCGCAGTCAGAGTTTCATGACAAAAAGTCCACGATAATGACCAGGCCCGTCGAGCCGAAGTTGCTGTGCCATTCAGAAATTCGCTGCGCAGTCTAATTACAAGTACAGTCAGTAAAGCTTGATATAAAATAGGAAACTTACAAGGGAATGAATCACGCTGCCATGAACAATAGTGATATTGAGCTCCTTGAATACTGCATTGAAAATTAGCTGCGCATGAAGGAGAAGAACGTTGTCTGGGATAGTCCAGAGGTCTTCATAACTTCCGGCCCATAACATAACGGTAGGAAGATATTTCTTTGCCCAGCGTTGATCTACCTGCAACGTGGCAGGTAAATCAACGTTACGATACACACTACGAGGTTTCATGTTATCTGGCACAGTGTCCATGTTGAGCTGGCGTTTGGTGCCGCGGGCACGTGCAGCGGATGCCTCAACTTTGATTTTTTTGGGAGCAGGTGGTTTGCTGTCACTGGCAGGGACAGCAGTCACAACCGATACTGATGTCTGTACGAGCGTCAGAGTGAGTGCGATTAAATTAAGTGTCCTTCCTGAAAATGTTTTGCGCGGATCTTTCTCCTTCTTCACCTCCACTGGAGGCTCGGGCTTGGGCTCGAATGTGTCTTCAAAATCGGGGCCTTCGATATCCATGGACCAGTCAGACACCATAGACTCCTCGTCGTCATCGAAGACGTCATCCACGCTAGCTTTTCGCTTGAGGGTCCCGCGATTTTCGATCTGTGTGAATGGAGCCCGAGGCTCCTGCGAGTACCGTTCCTGTTCTGTGAATGAAGTCACAGAATCATCATCCGACTCATACGCTGGTGGAGCATTAGGCTCGTCGAAGTCCATGTTATCTTCGAATATTGAGGCCACCTATGAAGCAAATAATTAGCGCGCAGATACTACTAATGATCAAACAGTGGCACATCACCTTCGATTTCCCCTTGCCTTGCGCAATAGTGGCCTCGTGCTCCAACGTATCATCGATATCATCTGCAAAGTCGCCAATGAGGGCTTCTGCAACAGGAGCCGCAGGCTTGCGAATTGGGACCTGTGCATCCGAAGTTGCCACAGTGGAGGCAGTGCCTTGTGAGAAAATTGATGATGGAGGCGCTTGAGTTGGAAATGAGGTGCTGGATGCGTGGGACATGGGTTCTGATTTTCCAGGCTTGACGCCTGAAATCCAATTGGTCACCTGGCCACCCAATGCGAATTTTTGAGTGGTAGCATTGAAACTGGAAGTGAGATTGAGGAAATACAATGTTGATTCAGTGAGGAGTAACATTGGATGGTGAGAGAAGGAAGCCTTACAGTGCTGGCGTATCTTTCCCATCAGATACACGTGCCACGTTATTGGCGTTGTCACCTTCCAATTTTGATGATGGTTCGTTGATCTTCTTTTGCATGTTACTGATAGCATCCTTTATCAGCGCCTTTCCACCTTTCTTTATTACCTTCCTCTTATTTGCGCCTGTGGTTCCATCCTCCATGTTATCGGTGGCCTCCATGGTCTCGACAGCCTCCACGGTCTCAACAGCCTCCCGGAGGTCGTTTGCCTCATCAGCTTCCAACATGTTGTCAGTATGATCACCACCACTCCTTGCTACAGGTTTAGTCGCCTTACGAGCCCTTGGCTTGGGCCGAACGGGGATCGCCTTTTTGTTGAGTAATTCTTCCTGCGCTTTCTCCATCTCATTTTGCATACCAGCCAAGCGCTCCAGCCCTTTTTGGACCTGTGCTTCCTGTGCTTCCTTGAGGGCAAGGTCATCGGCGGCCTTTTGCGCTTTGGTATGCCTCTTGATCTTTGCGTCAAGCACTATCTGGCCAGGCCGAGTGGTTGCATTTGATGTACGGGTGCGACGGGGAGCATTTTGGGTAGACATGACTGAGGGGATGAGTTTGCGACTTGGGAAATAAGATGAAGGGCAAAACTTTTGCTGGAGAGAGACAGGCGGGTTTGGAAGTTGGAAAAACTCGTAAGCTCCCAAACAAGTATGTACACACTAATCGGACTCTGTTACACAGTACGTTGAACTTATTAGGGTCATCACACATTTTCGGCCGGCTCTTCAACTTGACTACCATCGGATGCCCAAGGCTGCTCGCAGGGACCACAGCGCCCTTCAGATTCCATGTGGGTACTTGAAATGCGAATGCTACTTCAAGACTCAGGCAGGGTGCAAAAAGCACTGGAATGCTTCGCACCCAACATTCATATCAGCTCCTACCACCGGCGTCTCACATACTGCTACAGTCGAAGACGAGCCCGAAGAAACCACACAATGACTTCTTCGCAGGACATGATGACTTCTCCGCAGGCTTATTTGACGCAGGTCAGGCTCTCGATGAGCCTGATCATCTGGACACGCAGTTTGTGGGGCCGGGTGATAGATTATACCGCAACTATCACCCGAAACTAAATGGTACATTTCTTGGTTCTTTTCCAGCTAGTTAGAATTAACACGGGTATTCACACAAGCTTGTCCTTGTGATGCGACAGGTCAATTCCTTGAAGACGGAGCATCCCCAACGCCACCTCCAAGCAAATCACCTGATGACTGGACTCCATACCGGGATCACGTTGAATTTGAGACTGCCGAATTCCTGTACACGCGCAACCAGATGTCTGCCGGGGACATCAATGTCTTATTGGATCTTTGGGCTGCAACCCTCCTGAAACATAACGACAAGCCGCCGTTTGCAGACTGCCGTGATTTACATAAAACCATTGACAGTACACCGGTGGGTGATGTCAAATGGCAGTCTTTCAGGGTCCAGTACACGGGGGAGAAGCCTAGAAACACAATGCACCACCGTGGATGGGTCAATCTCACGACGTTTGGTATCGAGATCCCCATGAGGTTGTTCGAAACATGTTGGCAAACCCTGACTATGCCACGGAGATGGACTACCAGCCCTACCGTGAGTTCTCGACTGACAACGATGAACGCCAATGGCAGGACTTCATGTCCGGCGACTGGGGCCTGGAACCAAGCGGTATGTTCTCTTTTCTTGTTTCATGTCGCTATACACGCTGATGATCTTTGAATAGGATATCATTGCCAAAGATCCGGATACAACTGGCTCGACCTTTGTTCCGGTTATACTCGGAAGCGACAAGACGACAGTTTCA